TTGTCGAGAACCCAATGGCCCATGTTAAAAAGACTTAACTTAAAATTGCGTGACGTCATCATGTCATATTCATATATATATATACTCGTATATAATCTGATACAATACAAAATTATTATAGTACTCCGTCGGTTGAATGTCCACTTAAATAATACAATTGTTTAGAGTAAAATTACACAAATAAAATATAAAAAGACATATATATATATATATATATATATATATATATATATATATATATATATATATATATATATATATATATATATATATATATATATGATTATCATAGCAAATAGTAATAATGTTGCCATAAATAAAGAAACTATATATGTACATATCCTTGTCAACACTATCATGTTGTCGGATTAGCGAGAATTAATCACGACTTGACGCCATGGCACCCGCATTCCACAGTTCTAACCTACCTACTTTTTTTTATACAACTTAGAATGGCAAACAAGCTGACGGCCCACCTGATGGAAAGTGGTAAACATAGTCTATAGACATGAGCAGTACCATGGACATAACAGAGTATACTGTTTCGGCCATAATACCCCCATGCGTTACCATTCCTGAGGACTCTAGTGTTATTCCTCAGCATTGTCTGGAAGTATAGCTTTTTTTTTTAAAAAAATTTGATCTATTTTCTTTTTTATTAAGCGATACAATACTGTTATTTTAACACCAGACAGTACACAGATCAGAATGACATAAACAGTTTAATTTTGTATTTGTAATATAACCAAACAAGTTCATAGTGGAAAGAGTATGAAGTGTTTTTCCGGAATTAACACTGTCATATTCAAACACCCTGTCAAGATCTTGTTCCGCTCGAATCTGCGCCTGCGCACCTTGGTTACGACGAGCGTATATTTCACCATCTGTAATCCAGATAAATTGCTATCTAAGACGTCGACCCGCCTCCCGGACCAAATAGGATAATCGGCGGTTGGTTTTTGTAAAACACTTACTCACATTAAGACGCTGAAGATTTGAACGTAGCCCTAAGCTTTCTGTGATGACAGCGCGACGCACTCGGGCTGCTCTAAGGTACTTCTCACGGTAGCACGATGAGCCAGCCGCACGATGATAGGTCGCAGCCATGGTTGATGTCCCTCCGCTGCAGCGTGCATGCGACCAGATGGAGTACAGCTGACCACATTCCGTTCTTTAAGGGTCACTCCCAGCGTATTGGTACAGGTAAGCACGAGATTGTCAATACTTTCTCCGCTCTGCTTCAGTATTCCCACGATCTCCACATCATTTGAGAGTAGATAATAATTTGAAGTTTAACTATTCCACTGTTAACTTCAAAGTTAAAGTTGCTTCTGTAATAACGTCGATACATCCCTCATTCATTCGTCGCTCCATATCGTCTAATCTACCCTCCAACTTATCCAATCGACGGTAACAAGCATTCATGGCACTTCTGAGTTCTATTGATTCGTCCCTGTATGTTTTAAAATCAACTCTCATGCTTCTTACCTCGTTAGTTAATTGGCGAAGCTTATGTGCGACGTCTGAATCATGAAAATCTTCCGTAACGTCAATTGCCATGGAGTTCTTCCAGTTTGCGATTCCCCGTAATTATAAGATAACGATACTCCTCTCATGGGGGTACCCTCTTGATTATTTCTGGGTATTTTGGATTTAAATTCTAGACAACATCAAGAAGTGTTTACTTGTATGCTTTGCTGTATATTCACACAGGCTTGATGCGATACTTTGCACCTTGGACAAGTAATGGGAGCTCCTTCCATCGACGACATAATCTCGTCATGTGCACTGCACTTTGCCATAATTATTTGCTATTATTTCTGCACTATGTGTGAATGCTACTAATTGCGTTTTTGTTTCAATTTACACAATAATTAAAATGAGGGTACTTTTAGATTGACAGAGGGTCATAAAAATTTTGTCTAGTTTATTTCTGCACAAATCACAACAGTATGCCAATGTCCACAATGTACGTTCCTCAGAAACTTATAACTGTTAATTTAAACGATAAACTTATCAGTAAAAGTTTTTGATAATATTTTAACTTGAATGATTTGATTTTGATTGTATTTAAATTAAAATGGTGAGCAACTATACGTAAGCACAGACATCCGTCATGTCATTCCAATACACACCTACCTGTATTTCTTGTTCTTATTGTTTGTCAGAAGTAAAACTAGATATATAAAGCCAAAGTTAATTTTTTTTTTTTTTTATTTAATAATTAATGTAATTGTTAATTAAAAATATGTTAATAAAAATAAAAGACAAAAAAAGAATATTTCCGTATTGGCACACGCGCATGGTGCAGCACTGATCTGTGCCCACATTTACATTTCACGCACACAACTGCGCGCAATATTTTCGTCTCTTTTTATGATTGACATTGCAGTACGGTAAACTAGGGGGAAGAGATTGTTAGTAATGGGGAGGCTAGTCCCCATCGCTATCAATATACCTTATCAGGTCGACCTCCACGCGGTTCCCCCTGGAAACCATCGTGACCAATTTATCGTCGAATTCGTCACGATGGGCTAACTGACCTGCCTTTTCATCCTCACCAATCATCTCTCACTGGTGCCCCGTTAGTGTATACCGATAGCGCAGGCGGAGTTACCGTTCCATTATAACCCATAAAAAAAGGACGGTAACTCAGTGTGTTGATATATTATTTATTTATTTTACACTGTCAAGTATGTAACATAACCTGCCAAGTAAGCTAGGCTCATGTGACTTACAAACTTGAGAACAGAGGGCGCCACCCTCCCACAAGTACTATAATTAGTACCTACAGTTATATACTGATACTTTTTTTATTGGATGAAAATAGAATGGTAACCCCCTGCCTGCGCTAACGGGATACGCTGGCGGGGCACCAGTGAAGGGTGATCGATGAGAATGAAAACAGGCCAGTTAGCTCATCATGATGAATTCATCTGGAATTAATCATGATAGTTTCCAGAGAGAACCACGAGGAGGAACAAAATCTTCCCCCCCCCCCCCCAGTTGGTACTAAGTTATAACTTAGCACTCTCATATCATCTCGTATAATGAAGTAAATTAGTCTTCGTATCAACGATCTGTATGACCGTTGTATGATATTTGGTAGGTTGAAATGAATGCATAATTGTATGGATGCAACCAATTCTGATTGATCCTCAGAAGCGACAATGCACGAGTGTTGACCTAGAATAGACACTGAACCAGGATTACATAAAAAAAACTATTTTTATAATTTATCTAAACGTAACATACAAGTAAAAAAAAAAAAACAAAATTAAAAAGAACAACAACAGGACTTCTCATTGCCCGCCAGCTGGTGTGGGCGGGCGAGGTAGGGGCCTCGGGCCGTATCCCACTACCCCGGCTTCAACTCCGGAGGCAACAACCTCCGGGTCACTGGATTTGCAGCCGGCATACACTGCTGGTCTGTGTATGTCAACGTGGCGTCTTCATTAAAAAGACAGTTCTGAGATGAAACAAAATTGTCACTAGAGGGAGCCACATGGTAAGCTTCTTTAAATAAAGGTGCCTTTCTCCATTCGAAATACAACCATTACATAAAAGTTCACGATGATTGGTCATACATTTATATTAGTAAGGATTATATGATAGGTTACATGGTAGGTTGCCGTGTGTGCCCCGGTGTAGAATGGGCCACCCCTTCCTTTCTCGTGGGTGTCGTAAGAGGCGACTAAGGAAGGGCAAGGGATGGGCAGCAACGTCCCTCTTAAAACATCTCTAAAAGCCTAACTACGGTTACCAACCCGCTTGCCAAGCAGTTGCAGCTACTGGCAAAACCCCTTTTTTTTTAACGTGTGGAAAATCTTCAGCAAGACCGTCCCATCTGCTGGAAGGAGGGCAGCTGGGGTGTGTGGGATTCGTACCCACTAAAAACCACACGACGTACTTCGAGGCGCGTATGTTGGATCCCGGGTTCCCGTTTGTACCACTACCGAGTATCCAACGCGACGGCCCGCCCTGTAGGTGGTGTAGGGCAGGCCTCCTCTCTTAGTTAGGGTGGGGAATGTCCCTCCCACCCTACCATCACAGGAGGGCACGGATACGTGCGCACACCTCCTTAGGTCATATGTAGGATGTGCCTCCCTCAAGGCAACACCCCGAACTGGCAAAACCCCTAGGGGGAGGCTTATGTTCAGCAGTGGACAGTTAAAGGCTGATATGGTAATGATGATCAATTTTAATTTTGTTTTCTTTTGTATTGCTCAAGTTAATTTTATTGCTACTTACATGTTTGTTTTTGGTATTTATTATTTGATGAAGGGTACGGGTATAAAAAAAACTGGACAAATATTGCTACAGATAAGGAGAAGTGGAAAAAGATGGAGGAGGCTTTCACCCTTGGGGACCATTGAAGTGGATAAAAAGCTATAATAATAATAATGATGATGATGATGATGATGATGATGTTATGGTAGGTTGCCAATAAAACTCCCCGAGAGCCTATCTATGAGATAGCGTATATTTTTTGCATATAGACTTGATATAACCAACCAGATCAAGTAACTTTTGGTTCTTCAAAAGATTCCTGAATGTGTACAGCTTGAAATCTATCTAATATATATATATATATATATATATATATATATATATATATATATATATATATATATATATATATATATATATATATATTCTAAAAAATTAACATAATATTACAAGTGCAACTAAACATTTACCTTAAAAAAAACATGTCTCGAACAACGGCAAACAATTTTTAGACATCTCTAATTAGATATCTCAATTAATTCTAAAAAAAATTCCATCGTTTTAGAGTCATTACAACATAGTATAAAACAAAGTCGCTTCCCATCTGTCTGTCCACATATATGCTTAGATCTTTAAAACTACGCAACGGATTTTGATGCGGCTCTTTTAACCCTTAAAAGCCTGATTTTTTAAATCAAATTAAAAAAATATATAAGTGTACCCTTTACTGTGTTTACTAATGGGGAAAAATAGTAAAAAAAAATCAAAACGATATTTTTATATATTTATTTTGAAAAAAAAAACATTTGGTATCATTTTTGATACTTTAAGCATTACGGTAATCAAAATATTTATTTATCAATGAAACAATGCAAACACCGGTATCAAATTTGAAACTTCAGGCATTTATGGGTTAATAGATAGAGAGATTGCCTGAGAGAGCCTGACTACAGTTGCCAAGCCGCCTGCCAAGCATGGCAACTACTGGCAAAAACCCCAAAGGGGAGGCTTATGTTCACCAGTGGACAGTTAAAGGCTAATATAATAAATAATGCCTTTGAACATGAAACATTATAGTTCTGAGTTCATTTAATCGTTTTTATTTTTCACAAACATAAAATACTTTAACTAAGTTTGAATTTTGACATGCGACAGAGACGTTGACAATTTTTTTTTTACGCTACTTAGAATGGCAAACAAGCTGACGGCCCACCTGATGGAAAGTGGAACCGTCGCCTATAGACATGAACAGTGCCATGGACATAACAGAATATACTGTTTCGCCCATGATACACCCCATGCATTGCCATTCCTGAGGACTCATGAGATATAGCTCATACTTGAGAATCCTGAGGTTTTTAACAGTTTTAACATTACCATGTGTCTACTATACAGTACTTGTATACTTGCACGATAGCGAGATTATACAGTTCGCAGCAAACAACCTGCCAATTATAGATAATTAAACTTGCGCAGTGGACGATCTACTACGTAAATTGCTTCTGCGCAAGTCACGTGGTATTAAGATGGCGGTCAAGTTATTTGCTGATATTTATAGTAATAAAAACTTTAAAAGTGTATTCATATGAGTGTATATAGCGTAGAGATTAAATAAGTATTTATTTATTTAGAGATTCTCTGTGGATTCTAAGCACAGTGGTTGTCTATGCCTCAAGGCTTCAACAACATTAATCCAGCCTTAAATTGCTCAAGAATCATAGTTCCCGTACAACTTTATTATTGATATAAATTTCATAGAAAAACTTCATTCCTAATGAAAAATTTTTATTATACAATGAAGAGCATATTCTATAGAGATACCTCTTAAAACCTTTGTGACGCATTCTTTCAATAGAATATTGTATTGTATCATTTACCAATGTATTACTGTTATTTTACACTCGTATGATTACACCTTTAAATGAAAATACACATTTTACACTATTACAATAACTTAGTACGTAAATATACAAACTTATAATAAATAAGCATTAAATATTAATATCAAATGTACAAATACATTTATACAAGAATTCTTGTGATACAACATTAAGTTATACATTTGGGAACACTTGTATATGGTAACAGCGTTTACCCTGCTACTGTAACAGGCTCCGTACACGGTCAAGCAACTTGAACATGCACGCGTATTTTGCAGCGTCTGTGTTGTAAGCAGCAAAATATACGTACTCGACTCAAGTCGGACTGTTTACAGACCTCTTAAGCCGAACTTTTAACGGACGATTCTGTCAAAATTCTTTAAAAGGCCCGTGCAAACGAGTGACAACCCAACACAAAGCCAGAATAGAGTAAAAATACTAGAGATATTTTTAGTTGAGTGGCAATCAATCTATCTATAGATCCGTAGAGACAGTTACCGCAAGCACAAGAAAGAACAAGAAACCTTCAAACCAAGCTTCTGTCTCATTCTATCTTATATTAGTTTCTCATATGTCTAAAAGGCAGAGAACTGCCTCGTCTGCGCAGGCCTTGAAATATCCGAATTATGCTCGTATACACGTAACGGCCATCGTATTAAATTCATTCTTAAGCCAATGACAAAGATTCAGTCTTTTCACAATTCGAATTTCGAACGTTTGACAGAAACGTCAATTGTCATGTTTGGCGGGAAGTGCACTAAGGCACTGATAATCACTGGGCAGTAAATTGATTCTAATGACAAATAATGTTTAATTTTATTAAATTATAATAAAAAAAGAAAAAACAACAGCGTTCATTTATAAAATTCCGCCATTATTATAATAGCGAAATAGAATTACACCTTTATTCATAAAAATGTCAAAGCTCTCATAAATGTATTTTAACTATTGAAGACTTTTGTCTTTTTCTTTCACGCTAATTTCCCTATTTGAAAGAAAGTAACAAAACTTTCTGATAGTTGAAATACATTTGTGGATTTTAATTTTTATGAACAAGAAAGTTAGTATTTAAAATTAAAGTTACATACACTCTTTTGCATAACTAGCTTTCTATTAGGAAAAAAACCGCAAGTAGTACGTTTCTGCAAACAAATTTATACAGCGTACAGTTACGTAATCTCTATAATTTGCCGATTTCTGTCCAATACATTAATTTTTTTTTTTTTTAATCTACGTGCAATCCCTTACTTTAAAATAAAAGAAAAAAAAAAAAAAACAAGTAAAACAGAGCGGCGCAAATTTAAATGGTTTATAATTTATTATAAAATACGATAATATTTGCTCTACTATCTTATCGTGACAAATTATAAAAACGCCCAATTAAATTGAAATATTAAAAACGTAACATCTACATAATAGAAGCCATGTCTATAAATTTTACAGTTCACGGCGGACAACTTGAACAATTGCCATTCTAAGATGGATAAAAAAAAATTAGGACTGAAAAATATATAGCAATATCTATATATTTGTATCACAATATCGATCCAATAACAAATATGTTAAAAGTCTGTTATTAAAAAAAATATATATTGAATAACAGACTTAATATATTCGAAAACAGATATCCGACCGATATAGGCGATACTGAACTGGACAACGACCTTCTTTCGACTATCAATGTCCAGAGAAACCCAATATATAGATATCGTATCGGTACCCATATTACCTATACCTATAAACCATAGACAATCAAGTTTGCGCAGTGGAAATTACCGCGCAAATCATGTAGTAAAACCGCTCAAGTTATAAGCCGCTTTTATAAAACGCCTCTGGAGAAATGGCAAAGGAATTTTATCGATAGACATGTAGTCGACACCGCATGCATGAGATGAAGCGAGAAAGCAACATTTGGTGTCTTACTCTTATTCATGCGAGCGCTAGCGAAACCGTACCTACCGAATTCGCTTGCCACTGCTCCAGAGGGGCTGGATACTACATAAGCGAGACAAATCGATCTACGTGGTCCCCGTAATACTTGTTGTACAATTTATGATAACATAGCGACTATTTTATCAGAAAAGGTACAGTCGGTTATATAAATACATAGACACATTCAATAAGCACATATTCACAATGTTTATGAAATAATCATAGTAGATTATATAGATAGAGCATCGAACCTCAAAAACGCGTCACCTATTTGTCAGCTAATTGTCAAATTAGACGACACGTTTTTTTATCAGTGTTCTATTTACTTCCGTACACGATGTATCGTGACGTATCTATATTTTATTATATAATAAATAAAATGAGTTTTTACTCATTAAAAAGGTGCAGAAGTTGTAAGACAAAATAAATATAGAAGTTATAAAGGAATCACTCATAACTATTTATCACGTACACAATTGTATGAAAAAGTTGACCCACTTTTCTCGAAGCATTTGTATGAAGATACTCTATCTATATAATCTAAAGAAATACTATTATATTACACAGCATCTAACGATAATAACAATTCGAAATATCTAATATACTTACGTTAGAGAACTTTACCAACTTTTTTTTTTAATAAATAAATACAAACTACAACATCTTTTATAATGAAAATTAAAAAAAAAAAAAAAATATAGTAAAAATATGAATTGTTTATTTTCATGAATACTATCACAGTCTTGACTCGAAATGAACATCACTTAACTGTTTCATAGTACCCTTGGCTGTCTGTACGTATGTATATATATATATATATTTATACTATATTAGTTATAAATAAATAAAAAAATTTTACTTGTGGAGATTCCTAGACAAGTGACATACGAATGTAGCAATAGACACGTTTTCGTCACCGCACGCACGAAATAGAACAAGACACCGGGCTTAACTGTCTCGTTTTATCTCATACATGGGACAACGAGAACGTAGCATAGGATAAATTCATTTGTCACACTAGGGAGACAGTCACCACGCGAAAACAATTCCAGAACCGGCTCGAACCGGTTTTTACCGGTTTCCAAGACGAAGTATAGTCCTATTGGTTTCAATAGGTTCTCTTGTGACTAATGTAGCTTTAAAACATAACCTACGCACTTAGATTGGTCTAATTCGAATACACATACCATTACAAAAATCATAATCTGGTATCCATCATGTACTCAACAATGAATTTCCTTTAATATCATTTCATTACCTTTTTTTTATATACAAAGCTTAAATTAATTTTAAATAATATTAAACATGCAGATCCGAAGATTGAAATTTCGTGGAATTCTGTGTGAATTGAGGTATCAAAGTTTCCCAAGGAAGCTAAGTCCGAAACCGGAATTTACCGGTTTTTTACTTCGATATAAGGTATCTAAAAATATAACAATCGGTATATATAGTGAGCGTGACGCTTGATAGTTAACCTTTAACTGCTGAAGTTAGCCCCTATGTGGTCCTGGAACAAAAAACAATAATGAAAACCACATGAGACACAACGTCATCTAGTTTTAAACTAAGCAGAGATACTAAACAACAGGTAGACATACTAAAATACTTTGTACATATAAACATGTTATACATAGAAAACAACCAAACGGACATACTGTTTAATACAAATGCACAAATCTTTTTTTTTTTTTGTTATACCACAAAGTTAGCAAACAAGCATACAGCCCATCTGATGGTAAACGAACACTGTAACCAAATGTTTTTCAATCTTTTTCATGACGCGTCCCCCTTATTATGTAAAAATATCTTACAACCCCCTACTCTCCCAGTTTAGAATGTGTATGAATTTTATTATAGTACAATTATGAAATCCATACAGTTGTATTTATATTCACAATTGGGTATCGATAAAATAAAATAAATAATACATAATAAAGTATCTAAAACAGACATGTGATCGATGTCTGTTATAGATACTTCATTATGTATTCCTGATAGATTGATGTATTTAGGAAACTGTTTTTTTCTGCTTCGCGACCCCCTTATAGAGGCTCAGGGACCCCTCCAAGGAGTCGCGACCCCCAATTTGAGAAACACCTGTAGCTTATTATAAGTTGTGTAAAAAAAAATACTAAGAAAGATGGCGTGAAACCATCGTGCTGTTTGTGAGAAGATGAAAATTTGATTAGGTTTGATCGTGATGTTTATCATTATCAGAGAACTAGTTTTCAAATATTTAGATACACCAAATTTAAAGTTACACTTTTTACGTGATTACAGACAATTTCCAGCAGCAGTATTTCTGAACCGATACGACATCGTAACCTTCAAGAAAAGAGCACCCAGAGCACACTTGCAATGTCTCTGGTGTTGCGAGTGCTTATGGGCGACGGTTGTCGCTTACGTTACATTAGACGAGCAGCATGCTCGGTTGGCCCCTATGTTATAAAAAAAGAAAGACAAGATTTCTAAACTATCTTCAGCACTGGACACTTAACAGCTGATTTTTTTTTATGCAACTTAGAATGGCAAACAAACTGACGGCCCACCTGATGGAAAGTGGTAACCGTCGCCTATAGACATGAGCAATACCATGGACATAACAGAGTATACTGTTTCGCCCGTGATACACCTCATGCGTTGCCATTCCTGAGGACTTAGGTGTTATTCCTCTGTACCCTGTAAATTCACGCCATATCCCACCTTTCACACCGAAAAACAGCCACACAACACAACTTTACGGTTGAAACACGAATGGGACAGAGGTACCCAAGCAATCGACTTATGTACAAAGTCTCCCCCTGGTATAACGATGATAGTAAATATTCTTAAACATTTTTAGTTCTATCTCACAGGATACATTTACTAGTACATACTTCTCACTTCAGAACTTTCCCACCTCTATAACCTCAAAACACTTACTTTTTATTTTTCACATGGTTAGGAGTATTGTGATTGGAGTTGTGTGAGCTGTCGCTGAGATCAGAACTAGAGCTGCGGATGTCGCCTTCCATCTGAAATAACATAACCTTCATTAACATTTCATCTGTGTAAGAATGAACAAGGAATCTTCACTCCATTTAGGGATTGTAATCCCGCATGTCAATGAAAGCAGAATTCCCACATTTGTCCGCTTAACCCTTCTTTGCAGTGGGGAAAGGGATTGTTAGTAATGGAGACTGAGAATCCCATTGCTAGCAATATACCCAACCAGGTCTACCTCCTCGCGGTTCCCCCTGGAAACTATCATGGTTAATTCCTGATTCATCATGATGGGCTAACTGGCTTGTTTTCATTCTTATCTGTCACCCGTCACTGGTGCTCCACCAGCGTATCCCGTTAGCGCAGGCCGCAGCCGTTACCATACGATTTTCACCCATCAAAAAAAAATCCTTCTTTGCATAATGGTGGAAATTTCCATCATAACATTGAATGCCTAAAAATTATATAAAAGAACAAGTTCATTTTAAATTGATCGTGTCTGGATACCTTTTTAATGTCCATTGCAGAAAAAAAAACTCAGCTGTCAAATTTATTTTTTTTAACCATTTTTCCTATAATTTTGAACATGAATTATACCACCTTGATTTATTTTACCAATAAAAAAAATCATGTAAATAAGGGTGAATTTTTTAACAATTCAGCAGCGAGAAGTACGTTAAGTGGCATGGCGTGAATTTACTGGGTACAGAGGAATAACACCTGAGTCCTCTGGAATGGCAACGCATGGGGGGTATCATGGGCGAAACAGTACACTCTGTTATGTCCATGGTACTGCTCATGTCATGTCAGGTGGGGCGTCAGCTTGTTTGCCATTCTAAGTTGTATAAAAAAAAGTAGATAGAAATATGGTTATTTGATTAGAATTAAATTTTCCTCTTTTTGGACGGTGTGGTCACATAGGTGATATTCAGCAAGTGTGATTTCTGCTGCAGAAATCACACTTTCTTCAGAAAAGTTGAAGTCTCCAGGAAATATTGTATAAAATAATTCCTTCTTTTTTTTTTTATACAACTTAGAATGGCAAACAAGCTGACGGCCCACCTGATGGAAAGTGGTAACCGTCGCCTATAGACATGAGCAGTACCATGAACATAACAGAGCACACCGTTTCGCTCATGATACCCCCTGCGTTGCCATTCCTGAGGACTCAGATGTTATTCCTCTGTACCCTGTAAATTCACGCCATATCCCACCCTTCAAACCGAAACACAGCTATGCAAACACAACTGCTTCACGGTTGAAACACAAATGGGAGACATCAGCTTTTTTGAAGACTTGAAATTGAAAACACGGTTGAAAGGTCCACCGAAGGAAGAGAGAGTTATGCTTGCTGAAAATCACCCATATGTCGAGCCATTAAAAACAAGCCGGTCAAGTGGGAGTTGAACTAGTGTAACGAGAGTTCCGTACAATAAGATCAAGTTTGAATTTTTTTTTCGTGAAATAAATACAAATTTACGGTATTCGCATTTTTCCCTTTACTTGTACTATATGATATTACTTCTTGCCAAACTTCATGATACCTAGTATCATGAAGTTTGTCAACGGGAAGTACCCTATAGGTTTTGATTCCCTTTGCGAATCTCAAAATATGCGATATATATGGAACATAAACGGCCATATCTTTTGATTGCGTCGATTTTTCACTTCTTTAAGAGATTGCAGACCTGAATATACAATTTGAATGTTAACTAGATACCTCCACACGTTTCTAAGAAAAGGGTCTTGACAGACGGACAACAAAGTGATACTATAAGGGTTCCATTTTTTCCTTTGAAGGTACGGAATCCTGAAAAAACAATATAAAGGAATAGATCCAGGTTACCTGTCCGGCCTGTATGGTCTTGTAAGCTATCTGCAGTATGAGCCAGGTCCACACCACGTGCAGAACGAGCAGCAGGCACAGCAGCGAGTTGAAGATGTAGTACGCTGGGAACATGGGCAGCAGCATCGGCGCGCGGATCGACGTGCTGCAATGTACAGTGAACGAACAAATGAGTAAATGTTGACACTTATCCGACTAGTAGGTCTGATATGTATTAATATCAGACTCATTATGGGAGCCCTAACTGGACATATGCCAATAAGGCATATACTACACAAGATGGAGACTTTGTACAAAAGTTGATTGCTTGGGTACCTCTGTCCTATTCGTGTTTCAACCGCGAAGCAGCTGTGTTTGCATGGCTATGTTTCGGTTTTAAGGAATTTACGCCATATCCCACATATGGCGTGAATTTACTGGGTACAGAGGAATAACACCTGAGTCCTCAGGAATAGCAACGCATGGGGGGTATCATGAGCGAAACAGCATACTCTATGTCCACGGTACTGCTCATGTCTATAGGCGACGGTTACCACTTTCCGTCAGGTAGACCGTCAGCTTGTTTGCCATTCTAAATTGTATAAAAAAAAAAGATGGGTCTATCTTCAGACACACTGTGCAGACTGTGCGGTGTGAAATTCGAATCCATAGAATACTTGATGTGCAACTGTGATTCATTGGCAAGAATGTGTATGAGTCTACTGGGAATGGCGTACCCAGAGCCAAGGGACTACAGATATCTTAAATCGCAGAATATGGTTAAGGTAACACATAGGATCTATGAAATGATGGTATAAGGCAGGGGGAAACACAAAAGATCCTTATGGGTCGACGTGCAACGGCTTAGCTGACCCCATATGCAAATATAAGATGTATTAATATCAAATGTAATGAAGTATAATAAACAATATGATGTTTTTGTGCATTATATGTAAAAAATAATAATTCACTCTTACGCCACCCGCCCACTTCTATATGTTCTCCTTTAACCAAAGACTGTTTGAAAATGTTTGATATGTCAATTATTTATCAATAACAAATTGTACATTACTAGATTATATATTCGACACAGTTTATGTAGAAAGTATGCAAGCAGGTTGTATCTGAATTTGGTAGGGTTATACGGCCGTTTATATTTTCTATACACTAGCCTGCTGCGAATTGAGAAAAATAATAACTGATTATGTATCTTTCGTCCTCTTTTTACTAATTATATTTGCATAAGAAGAAAGGAGGCAATCATATGATATACAGTTTTTATTTTAACATTCCTTGTTCTTAGGAATCAATACATAAATACATATTGTAAATAAATATAATACGACATCAGATATAAGAATATATTTTATTGTTTTCATCACATGTTATATAGGTATAGTTTATACGAGTTTAATATGAACATTAAATATATATTTATTATTAAACGTTGATCACAAAAAAAAAATTAATTAATAACTAGTCGTATTCATGATCCGTACTCGACCCAAAGGTCCCCATGACACATAATATATTCAAAACAAACTTTGAACGAAACGTTCTCTCAATTCTAGCAGTTTTATTCGTCTCATTTATCTATTGTAAGAGATTTTATGATAAACATGATTTTTACTTTTTACTACATAATACTGACACTGACATATAATTATGTTAATTAAAATTTAGATAAATTGTTTTTGACATTCTTTTATAAATATATAAGAATTGTCAAGACTGTATAAAACTTAATTCAATCAATATTTATGTATTTTAAATGTTGCACGCCTAATTATGGCAACATATGTGTATTTATTATTATTTTAATATCTGTATACTTGCCATGTTTCTTGTAAATAAATATTCATTCATTCATTCATTCTGAATGAAAATAAATTAATATTACATGTTTTTATTAGTGCTATTACTATTGTATATGTACTCACCTCCATATTATGTAGAACGGGTAAATAACGATTCGAGTACTGATCCACACGACGATAAGCGCCAGGAACAGCGTGTCGCAGAGACGCTGGTACTTCGCGTATTTGGACGCCTTCACCAACTGAAAATGTATTAAATGATTTTTTGAGAATTTTGTTATAGAGAAAGAGAGAGAGAAAAAAGAGAGAGCAAGGGAGAGAGAAAGAGAGAGCAAGAGATAGAGAAAGGGAGAGATGAAATCATTTTAACGCTTTTTACCAGAGGGAGACTTTGTACAACAGTCGTTGCTTGGGTACCTTTGTCCTATTCGTGTTTCTACCGTAAAGCAGTTGTGTTTACATGGCTGTGTTTCTGTTTAAAGGGTGGGATATAGCAATGAATTTACAGGGTACAGATTCATAACACCTTAGTCCTCAGGAATGGCAACGCATGGGAGGTATCATGAGCGAAACAGTACACTCTGTTATGTCCATAGCACTGCTCACGTCTATAGGCGACGGTTAGCACTTTCCATCAGGTGGGCGGTCTGCTTATTTACCATTCTAAGTTGCATAAAAAAAAACGCTCACTTCAACAAATATGTCAGCAAAATCATGCAGAAACATCACGAGCGTCCCGATTCTGTGTAGATTGCAGATCCAGCTGAACGACAGCAGCGCGATGGTGGCGATGTGGTGGACGAACATCTGCCAGAAGTCCTTGCGGCGCACATCCCAGAACTGGGATATGGCCAGTGACCAGTAGAACGCTGATGATATGGTATAGTACCACCATACGTCGTTGGTTAGACCCTGAAATAAACAAATATATTTTTTTTTTATTATTATTCATTCATTTCGCCTTTAACTGTCCACTGATGAACATAAGCCTCCCCCTTGCGGAGCTTTGGCTGTAGTTGCTCACATTTAGCAGGCGGATTGATAGTGTTTTTTTTTTAATGGGTGATAATGCAATAGTAACCCCGCCTGTGCTAACGGTATACGCTGGCGGGATACCCGTGATAGGGTATAGATGATAGATGACGATGAAAGCAGGTCAGTTGGCCCATCGTGAAGAATTCCACGAGAGGTAACCACGATGATTTCCAGGGGGAACCACGTGGAGGTCGACCTGATTAGTAACATTGCTAGCATTGGGGCTGTTAGACCCCATCGCTAACAATCCCTTTCCTCCCGGATTGGTAGTGATAGTCATCTATTACGACACCCACGGGACAGGAAGGGGTGGCCTATTCTAAATGCCGGGGGGAAATGGATTGTTAATAATGGGGTCTAATTTCCCCATTACTAATAATACACCCTATAAGGTAGACCTCCACGCGGTTCCCCCTGGAAAATATCGTGGTTAATTCTAGTGGAATTTGTCATGATGGCTTAACTAACCTGCTTCCATTGTCACCTATCATCTCTCACTGATGCCCCGCCAGTGTATACCGTTAGCACAGGCGGGGTTACCATTCCATTATCATCCATTACAAAAAATCTGTCACTGATGCCCCGACAGCATAAACCTACTGACAGCGCAAGCGGGATTACCATTCTATTTCCATCCCATCTCGTTAAAAGAAACACTTTAATCCTCAAGAATAACAATACATCATGATGATTTGACAGCACTGTTGTTATCAGTGAGTCACTGGTACTGTTCATGTCTATAGGCGACTGTTACCACTTACCATCAGGCGCGCCGTCAGCTTGTTTGCTTGTAACACTTTAAAGTAGTAAAGACTTAAATTATAGGATAGAGAGTTCTTAAGAAAAAGAGTACAATGGCAGACTTATCTCTGTTTGTTCCAAGTTATATAAAAACATACGATCGAATTTCCATCCAACAATTTACAATACACAGGAACTTGTTTTGAAGTAAAACATTTTCCTTATATTAAATATTTCCTATTAAGTTTTATAAATAGTATTTGTGTTTACATCGTGTTGGAATTTCCGTTATAATTTTAATAGATATTAGGTGAATCATCTACATCATCATTTTAGCCGTTACCTGTCCACTGCTGAACATAAGCCTTCCCCATAAGGGGGAGTTTTGCCAGTAGGTGTCACGCTTGACAGGCAGGTTGGCAATTTAGGTTTAGGCTTTTAGAGATGTTTTAAGAAGGACGCTGCTGCCTATTTCTCTACCATTAAATAAAAAAAAAATTATTTATTTGCAGAAATACAAAATAAAGATAAGCAATGGTGCTTCATATTGTACTACCTACATTTTGTATTTTTCACCGAACTAGGTTTTTTTTTATACCACTGAGGTGGCAAACAAGCATACGGCACCTGATTGTAAGTTGTTACCGTAGCCTATGAAGTATTTTGTGGAATTCCATATCACTAGTTATTTGATTAAAAAAGGTCTGGTGGTATTAAAGTTGTGATGGTGGCGGTACTGCAGCGCTGGCAAAACGCGACAGCAGTTGGTTAATAGAATTTACAGTATTTTGTAAATTTATTTAAAAAATACTATCGAAAATGTCGTACACTGTGTTTCCTCTTAATATCATCGTCTTCCTACCCTTAACCCAATGATTATTTGAGGGTCGGCGTAATATGGTATTATCCACATTACTAATTGATTTATTTATTTATTTTATTTTATTGGCACATAAAACAGATCACAACCATAAAGAACTTAAATTATGGTTACATTTGTGATTCGGCTAGGTTATAATCCAATCACATTATTGTGCACAGTTTGAGTAATTCATGAAAAGCAAACACACATAAAATAAAATACCTAATATGTTATATAAATATATAAAAGATAAAACTATATAAATATTTGGCTTATAGACATATATATATTTACGACCGTCCACCTGCCTGACGTCAACCCTCTTTGGGAATGCATTTGCTGGTGGTTTAAGGTGGCTGGTGGAATAAGGGACTTATGTGGGAAAGAAAAGGGGGCGACACTGCAGTTGCGGAAAGGACTGGGACACTACAGCGGCTCGGAAGGCCGAGGTCGCATACCCGTACGCCCTTATTCTAGAATCGGACAGATGTCTAGACAAGAACACCCCTGATCATGTTTCCTGTTAAAAAAAAAATCATTAGAGAATTACCTGATGAGGGTATCCAATATAACACTGGTCAATATCCCACAGCCATTCCTTGTCCCACAGCACGTAGGTGCCGAATGCGAAGTTGCACGAATAGAAGGTAGCCTTCCACGCGTTCTCGCAGAACTTGACCAGGGTGGACGGCTTGTCCTGGCTGCGGCGGAGGCGCCACCACCGCTCCACCTGCCGCTCCGACAGATCCAACTTTTTGGCCAAACTTGATACCTGGAAAGACGATTTGTACATTTTACTTCGCAATTAAAAAACAACGGCTGTTCTGGAAACATTTAAAAAAAATACCAAAAAGGAACTATTTGAAAGAAAAGCCGGTCAACTGCGAGTCGGACAACGAGGGTTCCGTATAAGATCTACAATTTTTTTGTTGTTTGCTTGGATACCTCTGTCCCATTCGTGTTTCTACCGTGAAGCAGTTGTGTTTGGCTGTGTTTCGGTGTGAAGGGTGAGATATGGCAGTGAATAACACCCAGTGAGGTACAGAGGAATAACACCCGAGTCCTCAGTAATGGCAACGCATGGGGGGGGGGGGGGGGGTGTTATGAGCGAAAAAGATGTTGTTTATGTCCATGGTACTGCCCATATCTATAAGCGACAGTTACCACTTTCCGTCAGGTGGGACGTCAGCTTGTTTGCCATTCTAAGTTGTATAAAAAAAAACAATTATCTGCAATAGCAATATTTTGCAATACTATAATAAACTATGATAAATAAATAGCAGTACATAAATAATATATCATATATCACTCAACAACATTAAACTGAAGCATATATGGTACGATATGGCGTCATAACGTTATCACTTCACAATATATATTAAATATACTATATTTACAATCTATACCTACCTTTGTACACCCACGTGCAAAGCAATAATATGTAAACATGTCAATACTTTATCAATGATAATATTGATTGACAACACTAAAGATACCTTAACCCTTTCAGTGCCATTGATTTTTACTCATATATACTTAAAAATACCAAAGAAATATTCGTCGTGTTGATGTCATTTACCCTAGTCTCTAAAAAACTGTATCTCCTCCAAAAATTATCCAATTTTAATATTTTTTTTACAGCAAGCTAACCAGCGACCGATTTCACGAGCGCTATGACGCTCCTTTAGTTGCAATGCGCACGAGCGCGATGGCGCTCGTCGGCACTCAAAGGGTTAACAGAAAAAAATGGCATCTCGGTTCAAACTAATCTGCGAAATCATTCGACAAATTCTTTTAAAATATTTTAAATTTGGTAATTTGCTTCCAACTTAATAATATTATCACGATGCGATAACTGATTTGCTTTTTCATCCTCACCTATCATTCCTCACTGGTACCCCACCAGTATATATCCTTAGAGCAAAAGAGGCTACCTTTCCATTATCGTCCATTAAAAAAAAAAGTATTGTGACAAGTACAGAAAAACAGATGCTACTAGTAATAGAATAAAAAAAGTCATTGACCCACCGCGTACGCGCCACTGTACAAAGAAACCTTGTTACCAAAGTTTTGATAACATGAATAAATATTTAAGTACGGCCCTGGCCTAAAAGTAAAAAAAAACCGACCGAGTACGAGTCGGACTCGCACACTGAGGGTTCCGTAATTTTTTTTTTTATACAACTTAGAATGGCAAACAAGCTGACGGCCCACCTAATGGAAAGTGGTAACTGTCGCCTATAGACATGAACAGTACCATGGATATAACAGAGTATACTGTTTCGCCCATGATACTCCCCATGCGTTGCCATTCCTGAGGGCTCAAGTGTTATTCCTCTGTACCTTGTAAATTCACTGCCATTTCGCACCCTTCAAACCGAAACACAGTCATGCAAACACAACTGCTTCACGATAGGGACAGAGGTACCCAAGCAATCGACTTTAATCGGTATAATTGAAAAAATCTAAAAACGGTACTTTTTGTGATACAACTACAAATTGACGGTGTCCGATTTTTTCCTTTACTTGTGCTGCACTACACTGCTTCTCGCCAAATTTCACGATTCTAAATTTTCTTTTTCTTATAACATAGGAGGCAACCGAGCATGCGGCTCACCTGATGGTAAATAACTACCGCCACCCGTGATTAACACCAACACCAGAGTCATATCAGGTGTGCTGCCGGCCTTTTAAAAAGGAATACGCTCGTTTCTTGAAGGTTATGCTGTCATATTGTTTCGAAAATACTGCTGCTGGAAGTTGATTCTGAAGAGTGGTTGTGCGTGGAATAAAGTGCCTTGAAAATCGCACGATAGAGGATCGCTACTCATCCAAATGGTTGGGATAAAACTTTAGCTTGTGGCGGATTGTACGGTAAATCAACAGAAAGTACCCTATACGTGTTGACTCCCTCGCAAATGTCAAAATATACGCTATAAACGGCTATACCTTTTGAGTAGATTTAGAAGTTTGATATCTTCACAACATCAAGGGATTGCAGGCTTAAATAATTGGTATGAATTTCAACTTGACGCCTCCAAGAGATCCAGAGAAAATGGGTCTTAACAGAAGAACAATAAAGAGATTTTTCTTTGGAGGTACAGAACCCTAAGAAATAGCAAAATATATCGACTTATCAGTCACTTGGTAATAATAAGTGACAGACAGATACACAAATAGCTTAGTCGACAAGCTATGAGATATAGACCCCGCAATACTACTGAATAGTTTAGTTTTTTTTTTATACTACAAAAGTGGCAAACTAGCATACAGCCCGTCTGATGGTAAACAGTCATTGTAGCCTATGGACGCCCACAACACCAGAAGTGTCACATGTGCGTTGCCGACTCTTAACAAAGCTTTTTCAAAGGGGGGGGGGGGGGAGAAGGGATTTGCTAATGATGATTAGTTGCTAACAATATACCCCCCTTGCTAACACTATACCCCCCCACAGGTCGACCTCCTCGTGATTCCCCTTGGAAACTATCGTAATTGATTTATTGTTAAATTCGTTATGGTGGGCTAACTGACCTGCTATATCCTCACCTGTCATCCCTCACTGGTGGCCCGCCAGCTTATAACAATAGCCAAGATGGAGTTACTATTTCATTATCACCCATTAAAAAAACTTTTTCAATAACCCAATACTGTAGCCTCTAGGGAGAATTCTGTTATAGAGTACTAGTTTTTACCGCCGAGTTCATCCGCATATCCGAGATATGTTGATTAAACGAGATAAAAAGTAGGCTATGTCCTTCATTCAAAACACTACGTGTTCATAAATGTCATAACTATTTGACTAGTCGTTAAAGCCCCAAGAAGAAACACAAAGAACAATATTTTTTTTTATGCAACTTAGAATGACAAACAAGCTGACGACCCACCTGATGGAAAGTGGTAACTGACACCTATAGACGTAAGCAGTACCATGGACATAACAGAGTATACTGTTTCGCCCATGATACCCCCCATGCGTTGCCATTCCCGAGGACTCAGGTGTTATTCCTCTGTACCCTGTAAATTCACTGCCATATCCCACCTTTCTGTATAATATTTTATCCTTTTAATTATATGACAAAGTTCGTAACGATTGACGGATTTTTATTATTCTTTCACACAAAAACTACCTACTGAACAACACTGTATGAATTTTGTTCCACAAGTAGGTTATATCATCATCAACAAACAACAAAATGCCCAAACACGTCAAAATAATCATGCCGTGTTACGGTAAATTGTATTTTCAAAAAATTTACCTTCATAGAGATTGATAGTTTTTTTTATAAAAAGAAAATTAAAACATGTGAAAAATCACAAAATATATTACGTCAACAGACGGTAGTTTCTTATAAAATTAATACAATAAAAAAAATAACAACCTGACGGAAAGTGGTAGCCGTCGCCTGTTGATATAACGTCGTATACTCGTCGTATATTTACTCGGTCACTAATCCCTCTGTGAGCAATTAGGATAAAAAAATAGGTCACAATATTAATGTCGTGGCGCTTTTTACAGGACGTCGCGCTCTTGGGTCGGGACACACCCAACCCGGACTTTTTTTATATACTAGCGATCCGCTGCGGCCTCGCACGGGTATATAGATTAGAAAGGCTACAAGTAACCGTTTACCATCAGACGGGCTGTATGCTTCTATGCCAACTTTGTAGTATAAAAAAAATTATATTAGCTTTGACAGGTAAATTTTTAGTACTATGGGTTACATTATTATATTTCTCGTAGAGATCTCTAATTTTTTTTTTATAATATATAGCCTATTGGCCGTGTGGTCCCGGCATAGAATAGCCCACTCCTTCCTCTCCCGTGGCTGTCGGGATGGATAGCAGAGTCCCTCTTAAAACATCTCCAAAGCCTAACTGCGGTTGCCAATCCGCCTGCCAAGCGTGTCAATTACTGGCAAAAGCTTACCAAGGAGGAGACTTATGATCAACAATAGACAGTTAAAAGCTAATACGATGATGATAGGGGGGAAAGGGATTGTTAGTAATGGAGACTGAGAATCCCATTGCTAGCAATATACCCAACCAGGTCGACCTCCTCGCGGTTCCCCCTGGAAAGTATCATGGTTAATTCCTGATGAATTCATCATGATGGGCTAACTGGCCTGTTTTCATTCTCATCTATCAGCCTTCACTGGTGCTCCGCCAGCGTATCCCGCTAGCGGAGGCGGGGTTACCATACCATTTTCACCCATCAAAAAAAAAATATGATGATGATGATGATAGGATATAAAACAACCTCATTTTTTTAAAGTCAATTAAAAATAAGCTCGCTCCATCTACATCTTATCATCACTTACCATCAAGTGAGGTAACACCTAGCGTAAACCCATCTCGTAATAAAAACAACAATGTTTGTTTATCGCACTGAACCCATAACTTGAGAGTTTCAAGCCATAACCACCATGTTATTTATAGTTTTTAATGGCGCACTGTAATACAAAATGTAGTACATACGTACTATTGATTGGGTTATTTCAAGAATTATTTATATTAAACAAACGGGCCAAAATAAATTGTGGCAAACATTTTACACGATACACATAACTTCATGGGGTTGCACTTGAACTAATAGGCCATCATATCTGCTGAACAAAGGCCTCCCTCATAAGGGAGGTTTTGCTAATAGTTGCCACAATTGGCAGGCTAAAAAAACTGCTATCAACCCAGCAGTTTTTTTTTAATGCATGATAATGGTATGGTAACCCCGCGTGCGCTAACGGTATACGCTGGCGGGGCACCAGTGAAAGATGATAGGTGAGGATGAAGCAGGTCTAACTGACCTGCCTATAGTAACGAATACAACAAGAATTATTTACGATGGTTTCCAGGGGGAACCACGTGAAGGTCGACCTAATAAGGCATATTGCTAGCAATGGGGCTGTCAAACTCCATTGCTAACAATCCCTTTCCACCGGTTGACAGCAGTTAGGCTCTGCTGATGTTTTAAGAGAGACGCTGCCGCCCATCCCTCGATTATTCTCTTAATCGCCTCTTACAATACACACGGGAAAAGAATGGGTGGTTTATTCCATTTCCATTCTATTCCAGGACCACACAGCATAGTGGACCGTTTAGAAGATTACTCTTTACTTATACTGTGGTTAAACACAGTACAAATATCACTGTGCTTCTCTTATTTATAATTTGAATCGAACAGCCGGCGTAAATACCGGAAGCCCTTCCGTTAGTATTGAACGTGGGTAAACGAGTATAGACTGCTTATTTCAATAAAAAAAAAGGACATAAAGCGAAATAATTGGATTATAATTCATTTATTGATTTACGAAGTAACAATTTCATGATAATATCTGCGAAATATACGAGATGTATTAAAAAAATAACGATTTTTTTTTAATTCGCAAGTCTGTATAATCCGATTGTTAATTCTTTTTTTTTTTATTATCTTAGTACATGAAGTGTAATAAAATTTTCGCCTGTATTCATTGTTTATTTTATCTGTGGCAACTGCTAAGCTCGGCGATTTTCGTTTGTCAAAAGAAATGGATCAAATTCCAAATAACTACAGAAGGGGATTGTTAAAAAAAAAAGAGATTTCTTCAGGATCAGCAACGCACGTGTTTGTCATATAAAAAAATATGATACATTGTCTTGCATCACGATATTGGATATGTGGTTTTGGTATGTGTGGGTATGACATTGGATATATATCTATATATATATACACACACACACATATATATATATATATATATATATATATATATATATATATATATATATATATATATATCCATATATATATATATATATATATATATATCACGGTGTTTGTGAACGAACTCATGTTGTTGTTCCTCCTTATGTTTTTTTATTTATATATTGTGTTTTTATTTGGTAGGTAAAAATAGATCGTAAATTATATTTTATACCGCTAAGTGATTACGGTGTCTCTATACAGAAAAAAATGTTTATATGGCAGAAGAACTTTCGCCGGGTCAGCTAATATATAAATAAATTGAAACACATAGTTATATACGTATAAGTTTATATACCACATACGTGGCAAATAAGCATACAGCCCGTCTGATGGTAAACGATAACTGTAGCCTATGGACGTCTGCAACACTAGAGATGTCACGTGCACGCTGCCAAATTCCATTGTTTCTCTAGTGAAAAACATTAGTATAGAGTTTAGACATATTCAGCCTCAAATGAATATATTGCAAGAATAGAAACCAATGCTGAATGGAAGGTCACAGACCAATATGCAGAATGCAAATGTAGAATTTATAAATGACTATATTTATTTAGCTGATTAGAATTAATAATTACAATTGTTTCTAACTAAATAATGGTAGAACTACTGCCGTGAAGCAGTCGTGTTTGCATGGCTGTGTTTCGGTTTGAAGGGTGGTATATGCCAGTAAAGTTACAGGGTACAGAGGAATAACACCCGAGTCCTCAGGAATGACAAGGTATGGTGGGTATCATGGACGAAACAGTACAGTATAGTACTGCTCATGTCTGTAGGCAACGGTTAACAGTTTCCATCAAGTGGGCCGTCAGATTGTTTGCCACTCTAAGTTGCATAAACAAAAAAAAAAAACAAAATAATAATAATCAGATTTTAAAAACCAATTTTTAACAATTGTTAGAATTGTTGATCAAAGATGTACGATAATAAAAAAAACACCTCACGAAATAAAACAGAAGTCAAATATGGCAACATCTACCTGAATATTAAAAATAAAATGGTCGAAAATCGAATAATTTCGATGTACAACATATATTCTTACATGCAAGTGAAAAAGCACAATTTTAAACTATCAAACATCCAGTTTCATACAAAAAAATAATAATAAATACATACATCTTTCAGCTTGGGTGACGCCTGATACGCTGCCTCTAGTTTGGGATTATTGGGTGCTTTCCTTGGCCTTGTGTCCTTAATGCCAAGTGACTTGCCAAAAGCACTGAAAACATAACTGCAACAAATACATTATATTTTTTTTTTTATTACTTGATAATTTTACAGTTTACCAGCTGTGCCGGCAACTTCATTAAGTTTACATATACCTTGTAGGAGGTTCTAAATTTAGTTATATATTTTTTTTTTCTCTTATTTATTACCTCTTAACTCAATCAGTTGAAAAAATACAAGGATACTTACAAATTGGTCCCTTGGAAATTGTTTTAGTTTTTAAATTTATTTATGTAATTATTTAAAAAAAAACAACAGATAAAAAACAAAAGTATACACATTTAATTATAGACATACAAGAAATAAGAATTATGTCCTAAAATATGTTAGCACAACATGAGTGAGAAGCAGTTTAATTAAATTTAACGATGACAGCTATAAAAAAAAAAAAAACATTCAAAATAACTGGTTTTGCCACAATTGAAATTGAGTTTTATTCGCGGAACACAATCTTAATGTTATTTTGTACATTTTCCAGATTGGAATACTTATGAAATTAAAAGATACGACAATATAAAACCACAATCCATAGGGGGGCGCTATGGATACCCTAGAATATTCTGTGATATTGCTACTCATATCTATAGCTAACGGTCAACACTTTCCATCGGGTAGGCCGTTAACTTGTTTACCATTTTAAACTGCATAAGAAAAAATCTTATTTTTAACGCCATCTATTATCTAGCAAAAACAACTCTCTTAAACTTAATATATTGTGAAACTATCGTCACAATGAGTTCAGACGTTTTTCAACCGATTTCAATAAGAAGTTCACAATACAGTTATTTAATTCGGTATTTTTTAAATTAATCATTTGCAATTAAACATTAACAATTGACTTAATTTCGGTATTTTTTTTTCATGTTCGTTACCTCATAACTATGTCAGTTGTAAAGTGATTTGTAAAATTCTTTTATTATAAAAGACTTACAAATTAGTCCCATATAAATTTTATCAAATTAGTTCATTAGAGTAATTTTTAGACTAAAATAACTGGTTATGTCTTGACGTCGTATTTTTTGTGGGACTCAATATTTAATTACTACCGTTTGTAAGTTAACTTTCAGAAAACGCTAATGGGGGAAAAAACGTTAATGAAAATAATTTTTAAAACCTAAGTTCTGTATCGCATATACTCATACAATACACAAAGTAACAAAAGCAAGTTTTTAGTAAGAAAAAAAAATCTAATAAATAATTAATTTCTATTAAATAACATAAGTAATTAATTTCTTTTAAATAATTAAATTGTAATCAGGTGGCTCAGGAACGTTCTTTATAGCAGTCTATAGGGGAGGCCTATGTTCAACAGTGGCCAGGAAATAACTGAGATGACGACTATGAATTAAATTCTAATAATAAAATAATTCATAAAGATAATCGGAAATATACAACAGAAACACTATTCTATTATCTATCTATACTTATAATAAATCTGTACAGAGGTCAATTCTGTACATGCAATATATTTCCAAAATAACTATCATGCAATAAGTACAATTTTTGTCTGTCTGTCTGTATGTTCGTTATAGAAACAAAAACTATTCGAAGAATTTTAACGAAACTTGGTACAATTGGACAGACGGATAGATGGATGTTAGTTAATTTATCATGCAAAAACCACTGAACGAAAATGAATAAAATTCGACACACTGGATACTTCATGCGAGCAAAGCCACGGGATATATAATTGAGCATAAGACACTTTTTATTTTGTATACTATTGTTTTTTTTTTTCGTTTCTTTTGTTCTTATTTTGTGTGCTACTGTGTGAGTCGCATGCTTCTTTGATTGAATTATTTTTTTTCTTTCTATACATTAGTAGCTAGTAATAAATATATCCAAGGATTATATTTTATAATTCGTCAGATTTAAAAACATATTTGATGAAAGAGACCTTGAAGTATCATAGATCAATGAGAAGTCAAGGAGATACCAAATATAAATACTTGCTAAATATATTTATTATGATATTAACTGAGCGCGCTTCTTTGTACGTGTGGTAGTATAAAATAACTTATACATGTACGTATACATACGCACAACCATTCTTTGGAATCAACTTCCAGCAGCAGTATTTCCGAACCGATACGACAACATAACCTTCAAGAAAAGAGTATATAACTTTTTAAAAGGCCGGCAGCACACCTGCAATGCCGCTGGTGTTGTAGGTGATCATGGGCGGCGGTAGTCACTTACCATCAGGTGAGCCGCATGCTCGTTTGCCCCCTGCGTTGTAAAAAAAAATATCTATCCTCTTAGTGAAGAATCTGGGAATCTAAACTTTTTCTGTAAAGAAATAATTATTTTATATCAGCCCTTAACTGTCCACTGTTGAACATAAGGGAAGTTTTGCCAGTAGTCGCCACGCTTGGCAGGCGGGTTAGCAAATGCACTTAGGCTTTTAGAGGTATTTAAAAAGGAACACTGCTACCCATTCCTCACTCTCGCAAAGAAATATGGGTCGCTTTTTTGAGTTTCCCATACTAATTAGACAGCTGGACAAGCTGTTTCTTTTTTATACCACTAAGGAAGCAAACAAGCATACGGTCCACCTAATGTTAAGCAATCACCGTAGCCTATAAACGTCTGCAATACCAGAGGCATTACGTACGCGTTACCGACCCTGAAGAAACCTCTTTACCCCATTTTTGAAGAACCCCATGCTGTAATTTCTTAGTATAGTCTGTTAGCATAAGGGTTCATATTTTTTCTTTCCATGTCATATTTCTTTGGAAAAAATAACCAAGTAAAAGGTAAAAGAACACTAATACAAATATAAAAAAAAATACAACAGATTTGAAAACCTTCTTTTTTTTTAAATAAGTAAACATGGAATGGTAAGCTCGCCTACACTATCAGGATACGCTGATAAGGCACCAGTGATGATTGGTGAGGATGATAGCAGATCAATTGGTCTACCGTGATGAATTCGACAAGAATTAATACCGATAGTTCCCAGTGGGAACCATGTGGTGGCGACCTGATAGAGTATTACTAGCAAAGGGGCTGTTAGAATCCATTATTAACAATCCCCTTTCACACTTCTGAAGTAGGTTGAAAAAGATGCTTAATTTTGTCTGCATAAAATTCACTTAAATTGAAACCAGCATTTTTCATAATAATAGCATATTAAACAGAAGAATCAAATTTGATAATGATTGATTTAAGTTCTCTTACTATTTTTTATGTGAAACATGGACAATGACGCAGAAGAAAAGAAAGATGCTTGAGGCATTCGAAATGTGGACATGGAGGAGAATGGGAAGGATAAGCTGGACAGAAAAACTAACGAATGAGGAAGTCCTAAAAAGAGTAAACGAGAAGAGAACATTGATTGAAATAATAAAGTATAGAAGAGGCAAAATGCTGGGCCACCTTATACGACATGACGATTTTTTTAAGAGCATAGTAGAAGGAAAGGTACAGGGCAAAAGAGGAAGAGGATTTTTTTTTTTTAATGGATGATAATGGAATGGCAACCCCACCCGCGCTATCAGTATACACCGGCGGGGCACCAGTGAAGGATGATAGATGAGGATGAAGCAGGTCAGTTAGCCCATCGTGACAAATTCAACAAGAATTGTTCACAATGGTTTCCAGGGGGAACCACGTGGAGGTCGACCTGATAGGGCATATTGCTAGCAATGGGGCTGTCAAACTCCATTACTAACAATCCCTTTCCCCCCAGAGGAAGAGGAAGACCGAGGAATAACTACATGGGATAGATAAAAGAAACACTAGGTGTCATATCGTATAGGGAGATAAAGGATATGGCCTGGGATAGAGCTGGCTGGAGGAAGATGCATGAATTAGTTGCACGGACAAGAGGAAACTCTTAAATGAAAAGAAGAAGACTATTTTTTATAAAAAAATACTTGTACACACTTTTGTCACCTTACTATTTTATATAAGTAAGTATACAGATAAGTCTTATCACTATGTTAAAAAAACAATGTGTGCTTATTTTAGAAAATGTATGTTAGTATGTTTTTTAGTAACACAGATAACAGCATACAATACCTACTAAGTAGTAGCACCATCTCTTATCATATTAACTATACAGGTGTCATGACTGTTACATTTACTATCATATGCTTATCAAAGGTCAATATGTTGGCTTTAATTGAATTCATATAATTTATATGTTTATTATTTATTTATTGAACTTCCATAGAACACACTCACACACGCACATGTGTGTGTGTGTGTGAGTATGTGTTTAACATTCACACACGCACACATACACACATTTATACTTTTACTAACTTTTGCCATCTACTTTGTATGTGTGGATTTCAGAAGTAGAAAACTAAGAAGATTTATAACTTCTAGATGATAAAAAAATAAAACATACATGAGATTTTAAATAAACCCTTTAAGAACACAAGTGGGAAAATCGTATCAAATTTGGTGAAGTAGTTTTAGTGTCATGATGTGACCAAATATACAGACAAGACAAAATTTCTAAAAATTATTGTTTTGGCATCCATTAGTTTTATCAAGACCACCAATCACCATATCAATTTTTCTTAAATAACTTCCATGTACAGATATTGTCTAGTTTTAATTTTATTATATTAGTAATATATTGAACTTTAACACACCATAGACACACTTTTATATACAACTTAACTTTTCTCATGACTCCGTTTGCATAAGACATAATAAACCTATGCCCTTTTCCATTTTAAAAATTTAATAGATACTTCATTATAAGTAGTGGTTTTATACATTTGCCACCTCACACATATCTCACAATTATATCAATTATAACTATTTTAATACATATAAATATATTTGAAACCAAATTGCTACCCCTAAAGTTCGTCATCCTAGGCTCCAGCCTGCTAGTAAATATACCTATTCATTATGACAAATGGGTGAGTCATTAAGACACATTATTATATGGGCATTTCTCTGTAAATTCATATAGTTTACATCTTCTATTAAATAATTTTTTTTATACAACTTAGAATGGCAAACAAGCTGACGGCCCACCTGATGGAAAGTGGTAACCGTCGCCTATAGACATGAGCAGTACCAGTACCAGTATCTGTTTATTAGTCTCAATAAAATTAAAAAAAGGCTTAACCTATTTGAAAAAGGTTTTTTTTTGTCTTCTTAACTATAATAAATAAGAAGTTGGAAAAGCCCTAAAATTCAGGTGATAATCAAAAAATTAAAGATAGGTAATTTTGTATGGATACTGCTACTTCAAATAACTTTTAATAGATAGTGTTGTAGGTGACAGGAAGTTGATCAAAACATTTAGTTCATAATTTTAGTTTATATTCTTACTGCATTGCTAAATTTAGTATCATTACTTTTTTTTTTTAATATTATTTTAAGGGCTTTTACCTTTTTCAGGTATATCAGTCCTATTGTACCCTGAATTGATTTCTCAAACAAAACTTTATCTACTTTCCCTAGACGCAGAAAGAGAAGAATTAATGGGCATTAGTATCATTACTTGTCTCCATTCAAAGACTGCCTGGAAGAGATAGCTTTTAGCGATAAGGCCACCCATTGTTTTCTGTGATCATTTCTTGTAACTGTTTGTGTTTATAATAAGTTTACTATTGTAATTTTTTTAGAGGAACCAATAAAATTATTGAAACATTTATTATTTAAGTATTATTTAAACATTTGTCACTCATCAAGAGTTTTGAATTTTTTCTATGCAACATATTCTTCTGTAATGAAAAGTGACCAATTATTGTTGACCAAAATAAGCACTATACTAGTCAGGTATTTTAGAATAGATATTATTGCAATTTTTCCTTATTGCACTAGTGCATTATGTTTTGATCACTTAATAGTAGCTTACGATGGGGCTATTGTTATTTATGGGAATTAGCAACCTCATTGCTAGTAATACACCCTATCAAGTTGACTTTCGAGCAGTCTCCCTGGAAATTTTTCACTTTGATTCAATACATGATTATTTCATAGTGTATTTGTCAGGATGTGCCAACTATTCTATTTTCATCCTCAACTATCATCTCTCACAGGTACCAGTGTAAGGCAATAAGGAGATTTACATTATAACTCATTAAAGACAGTAAAGTTTTTTTTTTAATGGATAAAAATGTAATAGTAACCCTGTCTGTACTATTAGTATATGCTTAAAGGATACCAGTGACACATGATAGGTGAGGATGAAAGCAGGTCAGTTAGGCCATTATCATGAATTCCACAACAATTAAGCACAATGATTTCCAGGGATATCAACCTGATAGGATATATTGCTAACAATGGTGCTATTAGACTCCAATACTAGCATCCCCCACTCCACCCTCAGGGAAGAAAAGAATGTGTGATGGTGAATTAGACACAATTAGTAATTAAATTAGTGGTTGTTGCTGATATTGGTCAATTCTGGACCACATATTGAGATAAAGGTGAAGCAAATAGTATGTATATCTATGGTTTAGCTATTTCTATTACAAAAGGTAATTCAATATTGTAGACGAGGTAATTGAGGTATAGGACATATATTACAAGGTTATACTTAGGCCATATGTACATTATGTAGTAGTTTATTTAAAAACTTAACAGTTCTATTGTGTTCTTAGATTACATAAACAAATGGGTTTGAGTTTAATAGCCACTTAGTAGAAAAGAATTTAATAATGTTATGTATGTTGAGATTATATTGCTTTACTTAATTACAAATATTTAGATAAGATTTTTACATCATATTACAGAAAGGATTGTCTTGTGACTTTATAAACAAACTAGTCCCAGCTTGACACAGATAAATAAGTTTTTTTTTTTTTTAAATAATATATAGCCCATGTTAATTGCTGATAATGTAGCTTTCCATAGGTGATTAAAAAAAAAACACCTTTTCTTGAATTTTACATTAAAAAAATATTACTTATATATAACCATAACTACATATTTTGTATAACATTTAATAGATCAAAAAAATTTAAATTAATATGTACTTATATATTATTATTTTTTTCTGTATATTATACACATTATTTGGGATAGAAAAGAACTATTTGTGCAAATTGTGCAAACATAGTCACAGGTATAAGCTAATTATTCATAATTATTAATTGGGAAAAAGGATCAGTAGATAGCCTTAGGGGCGGTTGAAAAGTTTAACAATCATATGTTAAATAATTTACTCAAAATTGTATTATTAATCGCGTCTATTAACTGTCTGTAAAGTAATGAATATAGATAGCTAACACAATAATTTCTATTAGAAACTAACAAGATTATTGAATAAGACATGACCGGCAAGTGACTCACACAGTTGATTGATAGGTTATATTGTTAAGTATGACTCGTTAGCATAATATTGAATAAAAAATGTAATACTTACTTTTCGAGCACATATCGTACAACTATAAACACGAACGCTAACGGTATAGGGTAGAAAACGTGATTGGAATCGTTGTAAACCACTGCCTTATCGGGACCAGGGGCTAAACTTTCCCACGTAGTATTAGGAGGCAACCACACGTCCTCATTCCAAAACGCGTCGAGCACATCTCGCAACATATTGAACACTAAAAATCCTGTTTTCGTAACACGAACACTTTTTTGCTTAGAAAATACAATTTCACAAATTCAGACGCGATCACCGTGTGACAGGAGGCGTGAAAAGAACACTCAAAACCTCTCGGTAAAGTATTATATTCCCTGCCTCCGAATATAAATGAATGAACGAAAACAACTAATGAAATTACAACCCACGCTGAATGAACTGACGTTGACAGTTGACACTGGTGACGATCCTTATCCGATGTTGCCAAGTTATTATTATAATTCAAAATAGGATGATCCATAAAGAAAACGGTTTGCTGCCACGAATTGAATTAATTATGCGTAGATAAGTTGCCATTTGTCAGACAGGGATGGAGCTGCGTCGTCTTTTTTGTCTTACAAGCAGTTAAAGTTATAATGCGTGGTTGACTAAAATCGCTTAATCGTATACTAAGTAACCCGTAAATTAATGACAAAATTAACATAAATGGGTCGATTATAAATCATCAATCTCTAAACCTATTTTTAAAATAAATATTTCAATTTATTACTTTCTCTATACTTAGTACTTTTTTGTGGATCAGTAGAAACTAAATTTATAATAATTTTGACTTAAATCTGTAACAAATTTATTAGTTCTTAAAATAAAGATTTCGTGATGACAATTTGAAATTTAAAATTTAGAGAATGGCGCGTCAGAATTAACCTTATTGTATAGTCAATTCAACAATCAAACTAAGTTGATACTTGATGTTGATATTACAAAAAAAAAAAATATTATATTGGTTGCAAAATTAGAACCAAAATCTGCAAAAATGTAATCTGCAAAATGAATACAAATTACAAAATTTATTTGAAAACCATATTAAAAAAATATCAGCTCATATTTAGCCCAAACAAGTTGACTACCTTAATAAACAAATTAATGACTAATGTCAATGACATATGTAATCAGTAACGTCGATAAAAACATATTTTTCTCTTTAATTACGATTTACGTGTACCTACGACCTCAATTAAACGATCATTCGATGCTATTATTAAAACGTTCTTTATACTCAGTTACTACGTTTTATAAAAAAAAAAAAATAGGCAGATAACTACCTCGTTTGCCCACAGATAACTATTTTGCTCATATTATCTAATAAAAAAATAAAAAGAATTGCAATGATAACTTATAAAAATAAAAGAATCATATGATACTTTGTAATTAGAAAAGAATGTAAAATAAAATGTATACACAATGAAAAGTGGAAAAATTATATATATATATCTTGTGTCACGGTGTTTGTGATGGCACTATTCACTTCTTTGAAACGTCTCGACCGACTTTCATGATTTTTTTTTTGTTTCGTACATTTAATATATTTATTCCCCGTAAAGTTACAAAGGGGTAACAAGGGCCATGAGTCATTTCGAGAAAAGTATAATACGGCTGTGCTCAACTTAGCTGGCGCACTGCCGTGCCCCCTGTTTTAACTTTCTATCGAACGGATCTCTGGTAGTAAAGACGACGATGTAAATTAAAGAGTATCATTTTTATATTATATATCTTTTATTATCATTCATTATTTTGTTTGCATACAAAAGAGAATATTCGCAAATCAACGCTTACATACACAATCGGGCATACATAATATTATACACACTGTACACTAGTGTACACAACATAAACAATAGTCTATCCGTAACATAAAATTATTTTCGTGTCACAACATAATTAATCACAATTTTTAAATGCATTTTTGGGAGGAACGAATTTATAGGCACGCGATGGCTCGACAAATAATTTGCTGGCCATACAAATTTCTAATTTGTCATAAACATATTAAAGTTACGACAGTCGAGAATACTTATGCTGATATAAGGGTTTATGCACAATGCAAAGAACCGTTCTGTAGAATAAGATTCATGTTATTATACATTTCAATTTTACATCAATAAAAATTTTGTATATTATCTGTATGTTCAAATTAGCATTAACAATGTATGAGATTTATATAAAACTCACAATACTATATAGTGTTTATTTTAGGACAATTACAAAATATAGGAAACTAAAGGATATACGCAGACGAGGGACAGTCGGCGTAATTTAAGCGCGGATTTTTTACTATAATGATTCGCAACTTTTAGTCGCTCGTGTGCTTCAAATTCTAGATATTCTAATCTGACGATGAAAAAAAATCATCGTGAACTATCCCTCGTCTCTACAGGACTTTAAACGTTGCCACTCAGATTTACCACCATAAACCAAATTGTATTTATTGTCTAGTGCCTAAAATAACATAAAATACCTATAATATTTTACAATGACAGCACCGTTGATATTTTTTTTTAAATCAATACATAGGTACGTTTCTTTTACTTTTACTAAATACGTTTACACTTCACCTTTATTACTGCTACAAGTCACGCTTATGTAAACATAACAGACTCGAAGGTTTTCATAAAAGTTCATAAATAAAATTTCTTTCACGAAGAGTATTTTAAAATAATCAAGAACTAGTGTAGTTCTGAAGGGCATATTGGTCGTTCAATCAAAATTGTACCAAAATTCCAAGAGGAATAGAAATAAATTTCGAATGGGCAGTAACATAAAAAAATTGTCGCCGTCGCCCGACTCACGACATGGAGGACCCCAAACGAAAAATGCGAATTTACATAGTCGGACAATAAGTAAATGTCACTTTATTTTGCTAATGCCGAAGGATAAAGGTATTTAGAAAAAGTGGCCACTGTTTGGCTGTATTTTTGAGTGATTTTAACCCCAATGATACCGGCGACGAGATTGTCCATGCTATTATTTATGACGTATGCAGACGAGTAACTTTTAGTCGCCGAGAAAATTTCTCATTGCATACGCCGATCAACTGTCACGATCTCGTGAAAGTTAAATAAGTTATTCTGTATTGCATATTACTCTAGTCTTGGCAAATAGTGCGCCAAGGATTATCTCTCGTCTGCGCATGCCCTTAGTTACATAGGGCAATATAATATCCACATTCTCGTATGATTTAACAAATATCCTCGGCCTAATTATCAGAATGCGTAAGTCCTGAATGAACTTTACAGGAGCAAGTAAAAACTGTTCATTTTTACTATACAAGAGAAATATTTCGATACAATTATGAATCTTCTTTCTGAATTCCTTGATCATTTTTACTACTAGATAAGTATAACATAATTGAATCGAAATATTTCCCCCGTATAGTAAAAATAAACAGTTTTTACTTACTCCTGTAAAGTTCACTCAAAGGACTTACGCATTCTGATAATTAGGCCGACGATATAAAACAATTTTATTAATAATTTATCTCGAATGGAATCAGGTTACAAGATATTATAATACAAAGATTGGTCGGCGATAAATAATTTTCAATAATGACTAAATTCAAAACAACCATAAAATTGTGTTAAGTGATCAAGGGAAATGCAATATAAAATGGAGATCAACACATTCATATACTTTTACGAACGCATAGATTTATATGTTCCAATTACATATAATATCTAAAAGTATAAATAACTTTTGAATTCAGGCAATTATTAGAAAATTTAATATAATTCTATTAATATTAACATCAATATTAAAATACTAATAAAGGCACAAAATTATTCTAACTGGAAACAAATTTTAATACTTTTAAGACATATATTCACGATGTCTGAAAGAACTAAGAGATATGATATTTTAAATATCACATTTAAAACTCTACCCCCTTATTCATAATAACGTGTTTTGTCCCTTTCCTTTGCACCAGTTTCTCAATTTGAATGAAAGAGACCAAACACTCTAATAGTTAAAATAGGTAGTAGGACGTTTTAGTTTTTATGAATAAAGGGATAATAATGTACGAATACTGAGTAAATAATATATTAGGTATTATAGTTACAACTATACTAAAATAACGAATCGAAGGCTAAGTACTTGTACTTTGAAAAAAAGGAGAAATGTTTTTTAGTAACCCTACTATACCATTTCAAAATAAAATCTTAATTAAAAGTTGAAAATATCAAGTTTGTTAATTTTTTAAATTTAGTTTTGAAAATATTTTCCACAATTTATTATATTTTTTATGTGTAAAAATCAGTAAATATTATTTTTAATGGGTGATAATGGAATGGTAAACCCGCCTGCGCTAGCGGTATACGCTAGCGGGGCACCAGTGAGAGGTGATTAACCAGTAAGTTTTAGGTACAACTTTGGGGGTACAACAAAATTATTTTTCATCTCAATTATTTGTAAATTCTTTTTTGGAATTGATCATTGGAAGGAATTTACAGTTATGAAACCTAGATAAGTGGTACTTCAATTTCGATCTGATGAGAAACATGCTGTATTTATGTTACTCAGTACCTTTGGTAAACTGTGACTACTAGATAGGTACTATATGAACTTATATATAAATGACTACTTAACCCCCTTATTCATAAAAACGACCAACTTCTTATAAAATTATTTTAGCTATTGAACGGTTTTGTTTTTACTTTTTTAGTTAAATTTCCAAATCGAAAGAACAAAACAATACAATAGTTAAAATAGATTCGTATAAGGTTATTTAAGGTTTTTATTAATAAGGACAAAGTCTACATCCAATCTATTTCGATTTTCGAAAACTTTTAAAATTCGAATCAAATTTTTATCAAATACATTATTTACTTAATATTCGCCTTTACAATAGAATAATATTGAAAATGCAATATCCACTTGTTCTAGACGTTCTAATGTCGTTTATATGTACACGTTAAATTTACATAGTGTATGTACAAATGTATATTAATAATTGTAAATAGGTATATTGTAACTATTCAATATAAAAAGCTAATAAGCATCTTTGGGTGTCCTACTTTTGTTAAATAATAACCTATCTATAAATGTGCAAAATATAATTTCTATGTGATTTGATATGACATTTTGTTCATATAATTTAATATAATATTAACACGACGAGTAATTGGCGAAATATATGATAAAAATTACCAGTACAAACAGTTATAACAATTTAGTTTTTACTTTAAATTATTGTGACTATATTTTTTTTTTTATTTTAATGTTAATTAAAACTGTAAATATCTCTCTCTCGCTTTCTCTCTCTCTAATTACCAGTGATGGACAATAACTAAATACTATAAGTACTTATATCAACCAATTATATTTCACCTATATATTTTTCTTTTTTTTTCATACAATTAAATTAACAATCTAGGCAAATCCTCCTATCGAAATTAGTTATTTAAAATTAATAAAGATAAAGAAAATAGTATATAATATCACATATTAAATCATTAATTACGTTCTAGCTATTTGTTCATTTCAAGCACAGTTATTTCGATAAAAGTTATGCCTAGACTTTTTACTAAAATTGTATAAAAAAAAAAAAAAACAAATTATGTAACCGTTTACCATCCACATTCAATTAATTATTCGTAAAAACTAAACCTACTACTAGCCCCCTTTAAACATACAATAGTTATTAGTTATTTTAACTATTTTAATAGCCACTTTAAGCAGTTTTGTCACCTTTTTAAATAGTTATTTTAAAAAAGTGATAAAACGTACTGTACAGTATGTTTTGTCACTTTTTTAAATTAAATATGTAATGCAAAAGAAAATATTGAAATACTTCAATTGCTTTTATGAATATAACTTTCCAGGAAGGAGAGAAGTTTTAATAATCGGTAATGCCAATTACTCGTGATCACCTATAACATATCGCAAGCCTCAATAACATACACGCCATATTGAATTTTAATTTCATAAGCCACTATAATTTAGAAATTTCGTGTATATACGCCACGCATTGGTATATCAGGCACTATATATTTTATCTATTTAAATATATATATGTATATATAGAAGTCAATGGAGGGCTATTAAAAGTCAGTTATGACCGCCCAACTTAAAATTTTATAGCACTACTTTGTGCCATTTGTAACTAGCTTTAGAATAAAAAAAAGATAAAAAAAAAAAACATATTTTATTACTGTGATAGTCGTTGTATAATATTTGATTCTATTATACAGTGTGTAAGGGACAGATTGGCTAAAAAATAGTCAATTCAGCCATTATTCTGAACTCAAAACCAGTGTACTTAAATTCTTTATGGAAAATTTCAAACTTTTCCCCAATTTCTTTTTATTTAAATCTATTATAATATAAAGATATAATATTTTAAAGTGAAATACTATGAAATACCAGGAACCAGCAATGTAATATTCGTATTAAAATTCTACCGCGACGCACGGAATCAACTGAAACACGGAAACAACTGTAAGGTTAATGCCACAAATGTACGAAAAATACCTACGAAGAAGCGCGCGTTGTATAGATAGTAAAACTTCAAATACATTGCACGACGTCAAAACATACATTTGCGGTGCATTTCCGATGGGAAAGTAATCTGCCATCTGATTTAGATTCATCTGAATAAACTGTTTTGGTTTTGGCCAACTCGTCAAATTCCACCTGTATAAATAAACTTTTCTAAAATATAATAAATGCCTGTTTCTTTATGCAAAAAAAAAAAATACAAAAAAATATTTCTGTGGCATACAAATAAAACTGAGTTTATGCCACTACCAACTCCTAATTTATTTGGGATATACACCGTGTTTATTCTTTTTTCTTCTCGAAGTAAACTGGAGGCTCGAATAATTACGACTCTTTAATTTCTGCAAAGTCCATCAAAAACTCAAATTGTATTAATTTTTAATATTATCTAAGTTATTGACCTAACTAACTTATCAACTATCTATTATGTCATAAAAAGTACTTGTAAGTTTAGGAGAAACAAATTAATCTAACAGGATAATCAAATATTACTAGCATATTTACCCAATTGGGATGCAACCATAAAGGTGGGCAATGATTTTTTTTAGTATGAGTATAGTTATATATAAATTTTATTTAAAATGAAAATAGGCAACTAAAATATACTCAAGTTGAGAAATGTCACCTTTTTAAAAAGGAATTGATGTAGAAAAAAACTAGATTGAACCATAATAATAAATTCCTTGCTCATGATAGACTTTAGAAAAAAACCAAGATAACATTACAAATCAATACCTAATTCAAATTTCAGTATTATATATATATATATATATAAATTTATTTATTTATTAGTAGCAAATTTAACGTAATTGGATCTGATTTATGCAAATAATCCATCTCTTAAAAAGTCTCATAACGGATGGCCGTTTTCTGCCTAACTAGAATTTATCAAGGTGGTGGTAATGTACGCTGACTAGAATCTTCCAGTGGTACAACTGAAGCAATATTAATACATGTGTGACAATCATTATCCGTAGCAAATATGATTTTCGTCATTATTATGTAAATATGAACATATTAAATAGGCGTACAACACTTAAGGTTTAAAATACTGTATAAATTAAATGTAAATTTATATTAATTTATCCGTTTTCTAAAAAAAAAGATATAAGTACTTCGTGTATTTGGGACATCACTATTGTTGCTATTTATTCCTAGTGATATCAGCAGGCACTAACTATAGAATCGTGATATATCTAGTAAGTAAATTGGAAGATCTCAAGCTTTTATTGCTATTAAGATTGTTGCGTATTTATTATTTGTGAACGTAAAGCTAATATGTAAAAATATACTTTAAAATATATTGAATAAAGCAGTTTATCGCTGTTTGTGACAGGTTAAGCTTAATACATGTATAAAATTAAAAAAAAAAAAAAAAAACTAAGAGAAGTGCAACATAATATGGCATAAATAAGTACCTATGGACGGACGAGAAATAAAAAAAGATTCCAAGCCGCAAAGTACAGAAATAAAGCACCGAAATTTATATCGACTGCGTTTAAATACATAGTTAACGCGCATAATTTGTAATGTCGACTAGCAAGCATTGCCTTTAGCATTGTAGTGATTGTTAAGCGCTCAATACACGATCAAAAAATGATGTATGCTCCATCAGATAACAGGGTTGCCAGATCTAAACAGAAAATGTCTCGAAAAAATGTGCAAAAAAAATTATACATATTTTCTATAAAGATATAATTAAATTTACGGTTGGTTTTGTTGTAATGAAATAAAAATATATTAAATCATGTTACTCATACCGAAACTTGAATGTTTGTGAATATGATTGTTACTCCATAACACTTAATTGCCTGAACAAATTTTAATTAATTTTAGTACTACAGAAGGATAATTTTACATAAATGTTGTTTATATTAATAAATAAACAAAAAACAACTGTTATATAATAAAAATAACTCGTTATAGAGAACAGATATATTCAGAGTTTTTAAATTAAACCTGGCAACACCATACTTGGCTGGTGGATTTCCATTGATTTTGATTGATCGTCTAATAAGTGCCTCAAATCATTAAAGAGTTGTCTCTTATTATACTATTGTTATATATTATAGCAATTAATGTTGTAATAATACACTTTTAGAGAAGCCAAGTGAAAAATCTCTAAAATTTAACATATTATGCTTTCAATTCAATTTTAAGCATATAATTTAATATTTATAGTATATTGTATATAACAGATATAATCATAGAAATGTACATTTATATCATAAGGTAGATTAACAACAAAAAAAATATACAAAAAAAAAAACACAATAAAATTATTTTGTTGACATATTTTGATACTGACTGTGCTTATGAATAATAAAAAATAATTCTAAATTTAAATTATATTATTACATAATGATCTAATATTAAAAAACAACATTTCATAAATATCTATATAAAAAAAAATTTTTTGGTTATCCCAATACTTAGTTAAAAAAAATGTTCCCAAAGGCATGGTCCCGGATAAAACGTTGTACTTATAGAATTACAGTTTCGAGACATTAATTCAATAATTAATTTTGTATTAGTAGTATTAATTCAATAAATAATTGTTAATTAAATTTTAAGAATAATTTATATTACTTCACCATCAACAATAGTTATTTACTTTCAAATTATTAACAAAGGCATGTACGAGTATAATATATTTATCTTTTTAATGTTAAGTTTTTTCTAATATTAAATTATGGAACCATATAAAATGCAATTTTTGTATAACATGAAAAAAATATCTAAAACATTATTTTCAATTTAATATTTGTCACATTTTACATTACAATCAATCACACTTATTTAAATCACTTCATAAGATAATGTTGGAAAATTAATTTTCATTTTAAAATGCATGGAATAATTTCTCTTCTGCTTTTTCAATAAATAATTTATTAAACTGCAAAAATGTATCTATTTTTAATTTAATAATTATTTATAAAGTTTTATTGACAATATCTAATTTAGTTAATAATTTTGGTAAAAATAAGCATACCTAATATTAATGTATTTAATTTTTATTACATTATAATGCATTTGAATAAAGGCGGTTCAAAGTAGGTTGGCGTCTGTTTTGTAAAGCATTTTAGCAAGTATCAAGACATATTATTTTAAAACTTATTCATAAAATTCACATTGTCCAGTTACATTATAAGTATCAAGACATGTTATTAGTTATGCCCAAATAATTTTAATGGGACATTTTATTCGGGCGATGTTGTTTCCACTAGTGTATCACCTTTTCGTGACCGACTAATGATCGATTATCAATTTCAACATTCCTAAATCATTAAATAATTTTATATCAATTAACATAACGTCTTATAACAGTAAATAATTTATTTTTTAACTGAAAATGCTCACGGCTTGTCCATAAAGGGATAATAATAATAAACAAAATTAAAAATATGTGAAACCTTGAAATGGGATCTACTAATTGATTGCAACTTGGGTTCATTTTAGTCACTCGAGATAAACACCACTCCCAACTGTATTATGATATACAGCATGTAACAGAAATACTATAACATTTAGAGATGGGTAATATCTGATAACTATATATTGAGTTCTTCTGGACATTGATGACCACGTATTGTGATATCTCATACCAGTTAGATATATATATTTTATGAGTGATATCAATTACGAGCAAGTTCTTCTTTTCAATATTATATATTGGATAACCAATAGTTAATATATCCGTTATTGTGTATATATATATATATGTGTATATATATATATGCATAGATATTGTAACTACAATATATAGATATTGCTATATAAAACCCACTCTTAATAACAATATGAAAATCCAGTGATAATATTAATGAAACTGAATAATTATAAAAAATTATGAACCATTTGTCATGTTACAATACGAGATTTGTACGAAAAGTTACCCAAATTTATTTAATTTTTGTTCTTATACTTTGAGGGTAACAAACAAGCATACAGCCCATCTGACGGTAAGCGGTCACTGTAGCATATGGACACCTGCAACACTAGTGATGTCACATACCCGTTACCAACTGTGAAGAAACCTTAATACACCCCTTTTGAAGAACCCCCTACTGTAGTCTCTAAGAAAAACATCAGCAGAAAGCTCATTCAACAGCCTGAGCGTTTATGGGAGAAAACTCCCCTGAAACCGCACTGTACTTGTAGAAAGTACAATCCCGGGGTCCCGAATGACAAAGGCAACGAAGCTGTTACATATACAGCTATAATAATTATATATAAGTAAATTTATTGTATAAATTAAAACAAATAATTAAAAATAATTTTTGAATAATCACAGAAGCAAGAAAGAAAAAATGTCATTGTTAATATTATTCTTATTTCAATTTTTTTTTTATACGACTTAGAATGGCAAACAAGCTGACGGTCCACCTGATAGAAAGTAGTAACCGTCGCCTATAGACATGAGCAGTACCATGGACATAACAAAGTATACTGTTTCGCCCATGATACCCCCCATGCGTTGCCATTCCTGAGGACTCAGGTGTTATTCCTCTGTACCCAGTAAATTCACGCCATATCCCACTCTTTAAACCGAAACACAGTCATGCAAACACAGCTGCTTCACGGTTGAAACACGAATGGGACAGAGGTACCCAAGCAATCGACTTTTGTACAAAGTCTCCCTCTCAATCTTCTATCAAAAACTTTTGGTAGAAGGCTGATGACATAATTTTACTTTTTGCGTCTGTGGTCATACAAAAATTATTTTTAATTATTTGTTTTAATTTATACAATAAATTTATATAATTATTATAAGCTGTATATGTAACGACCCCTTGCCTTTGTCATTCGGGATTCCGGAATTGTATTCTGTATGTACAAGCTAAATATATATTATATCTCGGCTAATGGCCCTGGGAAATAATTGTTCAGTGTCACTAATACTATAGTGGAATTTCTAATTGTTTTGCTCTATACAGGGTAATATCGAAATCATTAGCATCTTTGTTTTACCAGTGACAGGAATATTTTTCCCAAAAAAAAAACGGGTCGAAAAACGATCAAAAATTTTGAGCCTCCTATACTAACATGGCAGATCCAACTATCAAGTTAGTATAGACGTACTCAAATTTTTTTGTTGTTTTTCGACAAATGTTTTGATTTGTGAAAAATCTTCCATTTCACTATAGACATATTGAAGGGGAACAAAATGGCAATCAACGATTGATGGCTAATATGGAAGGTTGTGGAACTTTTAGTAGTAATAGTGGTAGTAAAGTATCATCGAGTATTGGCAGTCACATACATACTAATGGTAGCGGAATTAAATAAAATAATTCTATTCAAATAACCAGCGATATGGACGTCCGCAAGATAACACCTAGTTCAATAAAGTATTTACAGGGAGCCGGGTGGGTCATACCCATCTAGGAATTGTCTAGGACCCATCCCAGCATTAGGAGCGGAGCTTTAAGCTATAGGCAAATATGTTCCATTTAAACAATGGGATATGGCAATGAAATTACAAGGCATGGAGGCAAAACACCTTAATCCTCAGGAATAGTACCATGGACATAGTACGCATGAAGGGTATCATGGGCAATACAGTATATTCTACTATGTCCATGGTACTATTCATGTCTATAGGTGACAGTTATAATTTTACTCCACGTGAGCCATCAGATTATTTATCATTTAAAATTGTTGAAAAATATATCTAAGAATACATATAGGCTCTAAGGGCAGTGGCGTAGGTAACCAAAGGCTCTGTGGCAAAAAGTAAACCAGCCTATGAATACAGGGGAGTTTCTCGCAAGTTTCAAACAAAGATGTTCGAGAGTTGTTGGGATTCCCCGGTATTTTTTCAAATAAATTGCCATTATTAAAGTCGTGTTCCTGGAATCTTGATTATTTATATTCCGAACGTGTCAGACATTTTTCTTAGTTCAATTTAGTTTGTAAGTCAGAATCCAATGGGCTCCTTGAGCTTGGGGGCCCGAAGGCACTACCACGTCTAGTTCTCCAGTAGCTACGCCACTGTCTAAGGGGCGGGACCAGCCCCTCCCCTCCTTTCCCGTAGTAAAATACACTGGTGGAACACTACTTTATAAAGATGCTAGCGATTTCGATGTCACATTGTATAAAAAAATCATAGTAATAAACAGTTTATTTGGTCAAAGTTTAAGTTAACCTATTTGTTAAGAGTGTTTTTACCAAAGTGCGGTAACATTTGCTTTATCAGTTAAATTGTAAAAAACAATATTACTATGTAGACAATTGTATAAGTCGAATGAAGTGCATACCGAGGTCACACCATATTAAAACTGATGTAACCAATAGGTATTTGACAGTAGACCGTATTCAAATGTAATGAAAGCTCAAATTCATACGCAAGTGAATCAAGGCCCTCATATAGTGATATACATAGCATAAATTGTCATACATACGATTCAGAAGACCATCCCGTCGGTGTTCTGGCCACTGACAACACTGTACTCGATTTAACGATGAACACATTATAAACTTAAAACAACTTGCCACAAAATTCACTGTCACTGCACAGAGTTCGAACCTTGGACCGTATGGGCGCGGTGCCTTCAAGCGAGCGTGTAAATTATTGAACGGGTGCGAGGCCTGTGGACTAGCCCTAGGCCTGCTTTGTTGGCCCGACCCTATGTGTCCCTGGAAAAATAAATACATATATTGATAATAAATACTATTAGATATATAACACAACGCCCCTTGGGGGAAAAGGATTTTTAACAATGGAGTTTGACAGCCCCACACTAGCAATATGCCTTATTAGGTCGACCTCCACGCGGTTTCTCCTGGAAACCACGTTGAATCCATTATCACCCATTAAAAAAAAACATTAGTTACTTAGTTTGGCACTAGAAGGCGTTGTGCTATTTTTTTTAAAGGGTGATAATGAAATAGTAACCCCATCCGCGCTATCAGTGTACACCGGCGGGGCGATGTACACTGATAGCGCGGATGGGGTTGTGAAGGTGAAGTATGATACGTGAGGATTAAGCAGGTCAGTTAGCCTATCGTGACGAATTCAACAAGAATTGTTCACGATGCTTTCCAGGGGGAATCACATAGAAGTCGACTTAATAGGACATATTGCTAAGCAATGGGGCTGTCAAACTCCATTGCTAACAATCCCTTTCTCCCCCCCCTCCCTTCCAATAACTAATGTTATACATAGAAAACACTTTGACAAATAGTAAGTAAATAGTTTGCCCTAAAATGTTTCCAAAGATTTTTTAACATAGACTAACAAATATAGAATAAACTTTTTTCTTGTCAGATACTGGTATTGACTTATTTTTAATTATTTCTTTTAGTGACCAATAACGAGACCAACTGTAAAAAATAAAAAAGCTCAAATGGCGATGGACTGGGCACATCATGAGGTCATCAAAAAACAAATGGACCCAAGATTTAATTGAGTGGTATCCGCGTGATGGGAAAAGAAACCGAGGTAGACCAACAAGAAGATGGGAGGATGATTTGCCCAAAGGCTGGAGACAAGCTGCAAGGAATCGTTACCAATGGAGAAATATGGAGGGGGCCTATGTTCTAGAACAATCTGAAAAATAAGATGTTGCTGATGTCAACATTAATTATCTGTACATATTTACAATTTAAAAAAGAATCTGTAATTCAGGAATAAAGGCTATTTTTATTATTATTTTTTTATGCAACTTAGAATGGCAAACAAGCTGACGGCCCACTTGATGGAAAGTGGTAACCGTCGCCTATAGACATGAACAGTACCATGGACATAACAGAGTATACTGTTTCGCCCATGATACCCCCCATGCGTTGCCATTCCTGAGGACTCAGGTGTTATTCCTCTTTACCCAGTAAATTCACGCCTTGTCCCACCCTTCAAACCGAAACACAGCTATGCAAACACAACTGCTTCACGGTTGAAACACGAATGGGACAGAGATACCCAAGCAATCGACTTTTGTGCAGTCTCCCTCTGGTAAACAATTATTTATAACAATATAGAATTGTTTAATGTAAAAAAATAGTACTTACTTTTTATTATTGATGCGATTAGGTGTACTATGATTGGAATGGTGGGAACTATCACTAACTTCCGAACTCGAACTCCTTATGTCACCTTCCAACTGAAAAAAAAAATCAATTATTAAATCACTAATTTATGACTCGATACTTGGCAATTATGTCAGATCAGCCTTAACTGTCCACTGCTGAACATAAGTTTCCCCCTTTGGGGGGTTTTACCAGTAGTTGCCACAGTTGGCAGGCGGGTTGGCAACCGCAGTTAGGTTTTTAGAGATGTTTTAAGAGGAACGCCGCTGCCCATCCCTTATATCCTTACTTATAAACGAATTAAAGATATACACAACCCGTTTTTAACCGACTCCAAAAAAGGAGATTGACAAGACGGTTTTATTTTTTTTGTGTATATTACCGTCAATTATAAACCGATTTGAAAAATTCTTTTTTTATCTGAGAGTATACAGTTTCATATTGTTCCCATTGTTCCCATAGAAATAAAAAAAAATATCAAACACTTCAGATATATATATATATATATATATATATATATATATATATATATATATATATATATATATATATATATATATATATATATATATATATATATATATATATATATATGTTATATAGTTATATTATATAACTATTATACTATATAAATCAAAATAACTATTTTATCAAACACTCTCCAAAATTAACCGATTTTAATGAAATTTTGTATGCAAAAAAATAGTCTAGTGGGTCATCTTATATATGTATAATATTGTATTGTAAATATCTGTATTGTACATAATTTAAATAAGACACATTAAAAGATTTAATATACAATAATAATTATCAGAATAGAATTGAACTTTTGAACAAGGAAACTAGTCGAACAACCTCGAATACGCGGGTAAATCAGAAACAATTATAATACGTACCTGTCCGGCATAGATGGCTCTGTAGGCAACTTGCAGTATGAGCCACGTCCATATCAAATGCAAGACGAGCAGGAGGCAAAGCAACGAGTTGAATATATAGTATGTAGGACTCATGGGCAACAGCATGGGGGCACGGATCGTTGTGCTGGAAATAAAATAAATAGTATAGTTATATATTCTGCATTTGTGAATCTTTAAAATACGAACGGAGACTTTATACAAAAGTCGTTTGCTTGGGTACCTCTATCCCATTCGGGTTTCTGCAGTAAACTAGTTGTTTGCTTGTGTAATATGGCATTGAATTTACAGGGTACAGAGGAATAACACCTGAGTCCTCGGGAATGGCAACGCATGGGCCCCCCATGTCGTAACGGTTCGGAAATACTGCTGCTGGAAGTTGATTCCAAAGAGTGGTTGTGCGTGGGAGTAAGTGCCTTGAAAAACGCACGGTGGAGGACCGCCACTCGTCCAGATGCATATATATATATATATATATATATATATATATATATATATATATATCGGGTTGTACGTATATATGTATATATGCAGCATATTCCGAACAATTCTTCAGAGCACTCCCCATGATAAATTCGGTAGAAGATGCACGGCGATGCAACATCTCTACGCAGTCGAGATGTCGAGCCGGACAGTAAGACGCCGATCGTTACTCTGTTACTTGCGATATTTTCAAAACGTAATCACATGCCCATGTTATGTCTAATTAGATTATGTAGCTATAACAATTAGACAATTAGGTACTTATATATTAAAGTAAGTATGGCGCCCAACATGGGACACTAATGGCGCCTAAACGTGGGCCCATCACTACTTACCGTATTAGAGTTTATTATTATTATTTCAACCGTTAACTGTCTACTGCTAAACATAAGGCTTTCCCATAAGGGAAGTTTTGCTGATAGTTACCACGCTTGGCAAACGGATTAGCAACCGCAGTTAGGCTTTTAGAGATATTTTAAGAGAGACGCTGCTGCTCATTCCTCAGTCTCCCTTAGTCGCCTCTTACGACACCCACGGGAAAGGAAGGAGTGGCCCATTCTATACCGGGACACACATGGCGTATTAAACTCTCATTTTATAATTTAATCAACATTCTGAACGAAATATAGCATGTAATATTAAGTTCATGTCAGATCCGTCAGTATTCTACGACTATGACGATATCATCATCAACATTTCAGCCATTATTCATCCAGCCATTATCTGTCCACTGCTGGACATAAGCCTCCCCCATAGATTGCCATAAAGAACAGTCCTGAGCCACCTGCATCCACTGACTCCCTGCAATGCATTTCAGGTCGTCACGCCATCTATATAATAATTATTAGTACGTGAACATACCTCCAAATTATATAGAATGGATATATTCCCAGACGAGTTATTAGCCATAATACTATGAAGACAGTAAATATGGCGTCGCAGAGCTTCTGGTAGTTGGCGTATTTAGCCGCTTTCGCCGCCTGGAATAAGAAATTAATAATTGAATAAAAAAAAGAATGGAAGAAATAAGAAAACAGAAGTTTGATTATTGTTGAAACAATAATCAAACTTCAAATTTGTAATACACGGTTTGATTCCGTAATTTAATTTTTAAACCAAATTAATAGATATATATATATATATATATATATATATATATATATATATATATATATATATATATATATAATTTAAGAATTTATTCCACAAAAAATACCTACTTAAATTTTTTTTTATACAACTTAGAACGGCAAACAAGCTGACGGCCCACGTGATGCAAAGTGCTAACCGTCGCCTATAGATATGAGCAGTACCATGGACATAACAGAGTATACTGTTTCGTCCATGATAACCCCCATGCGTTGCCATTCCTCAGAACTCAGGTGTTATTCCTCCGTACCCAGTAAATTCACGCCATTTATTTTAATTTCAAAATTATAGTACTAAATCAATTTCGACAAAAACTTTATGAGATCAATCTCCAAGTAACTTTTCAGATAAAAAAAAAATAGTATTTTCCAAATCGGTTTACAACTGACGGCTCCATATGGCTTCGTAGAACGTTATCACTATCAGTCAAAGGTGTCGAAACAAATGTCACATAGGTATGATCGATTGAGGTACAAAGCAAAGATAAAAACAATATTTACATCAATTGTACAATATAGTATGATATCTTATTCTGTCCCATTCGTGTTTCAACCGTGAAGCAGCTGCATGGCTGTGTTTCGGTTTAAAGGGTGGGATATGGCATGAATTTACTGGGTACAGAGGAATAACACCTAACTAGGAATGGCAAATGGGCGGTATTATGGGCAGTATACTCTGTTATGTCCATGGTACTGCAAGTTACCACTTTCCATCAGGTGGACCGTCAGCTTGTTTGCCATTCTAAGTTGTATAAAAAAAAAAAAAAATATATATATATAAATCATTAATAATCTTTTAGACACTTTACAAGCCAAACTAAATGATATTAAACTTATAAAAACTCTCATAATAATTTTTTTTTTCAGTTTCAATGGTCAAACAAACATTCCTTTGTTTAAATGGTTTTAAAAGCAAACGCTTGCCACTAGGGTTGTCACACGCGTACAATACAAGCAAGTGGATGGCAAAGGTTTTTACTGGAATGAGTACATATTAGTATATCACCTCAAGCTATTACTTTTTTTAGTAATTTTAGTAAAGAGAAAAATAAATCATTCATTCATTCACTATTAAGGACTATATTTTATTAAAAAAAAAGTGCAAAACCAGGATGGAATGCTGACATAGAATAAACTAACCTCCAACGCTATATCAGCGCAATCATGACTCAGTAGGACCAATGTCCCGATCCTGTGAAGATTGCACACCCAGCTGAACGACAGTAACGCGATGGTGGCGAAGTGGTGGACAAACATTTGCCAGAAGTCCTTGCGGCGAACATCCCAGAACTGGGACATGGTGAGCGCCCAATAGAACGCTGATGATATCATGTAGTACCACCATACGTCGTCTGTAATACCCTGGAAAAGATTTTTTTAACAAGTATTAGAAAAACATGGCTCCTATGGCTCCCAGGATGGTCAATAGATACTGTTGTACTTAGATTAAGATTGTGTTTTACAAACGTAAAACCAATTTCAATCGGTCGAAACCGGGGGGAAAGGGATTGTTGGTAATGGAGACTGAGAATCCCATTGCTAGCAATATACCCAACCAGGTCGACCTCCTCGCGGTTCCCCCTGGAAACTATCATGGTTAATTCCTGATGAATTCATCATGATGGGCTAACTGGCCTGTTTTCATTCTCATCTATCACCCTTCACTGGTGCTCCGCCAGCGTATCCCGTTAGCGCAGGCGGGGCTACCATACCATTATCACCCAACAAAAAAAAAATCGGGCCAAACCAGTTATTTTGATTTCAAAACTAAACTATTGAAAAGCTTTCGACAAATTTTTTATGGGGCCAATCTATAAATATTTCAGATTAAAAACTATATAGCCTTTCAGATTAAAAAGAATTTTCCAAATCGGTTTATGATAAACGGAGTTAGGTAACAAACATATTTGAAAAAAAATACAACGGAATTGAGAACCCCTTCTTTTTTAAGTCGGTTGAAAACAAAATAGATTTCTTAGTAATGGAAATAATATAAATGTAATGTAAATATGTTTGAATATTTGTTCGAAATTTACTAAGAAAGAATTATTGCAGATTCTTCTCAACAAGTAATAATCTCCGATCCCAACGGTAGACATGTAAAAAGTGACGATATAAAAGAGCTTGTAAACATATCGTCATAGTCGTAGAATACTGACGGATCTGACAAAGATTACATATAAAGATCCGTCAGTATTCTACGACTGTGACGATATCTGTTTTTTTAGAGACAATTTGTAACATAAAAAAATTACACTTAAAATTGCTGAATGGATTTGAACAAAACTAACACGAGCACAATCGAGGGGTACAACTAATTAAGATTATTATTGAAAGACGACCTTTTTCCATGCAAAAAAAAACAAACTTGGGACACGATGGCGACCTTTCAATGATCTTTAGTGCTCGCCCTTTTTAAAGTTCGCTGCAAATTTCTATCAATGATAGGATTTTTGTTTTTTGTAGCGATGTTTTTTTTTTATTTTCTCAGGATATAAAGTGTATTTTCCAAAAAAAAAAATATATCGTTTATGTGTAGTTAGTGTAAGTAGTTAAGTAAGTGAGTTACAGTCAAAAATTAAATGCTGAGACGTTTCTTCCCCATTGTGCCAAAATCTGCAAACACTTTTTGGGCCATATGTAAGCCTTTGGGCCATATGCTTGTTTAGTTTGCAGTATCCAATGAGAGCCCTTGTATTATTTTTACTCAAAAGAATTAGTTTCTTAGAGTTATTTTCTGAAAATCTTAATCAGGGCTTTTGAGTGATTTAATCTTGGCAACAAGAGCCAGCTATTATTTGCTAGTTCTAAGCTTTCGAGTCTGAGGTGTCTGATCTTTAGGATTCGAGATATGTTACAATAAGTTCCTGTGTACAATTAATAATAATAGCCAAATTTTTTTATATGTAACTTAGAATGGCAAACAAGCTAACGGCCCACCTAATAGAAAGTCGTAACCGTCGCCTATAGATATGAGCAGAACCATGGATATAACAGAGACTGTTTTGGCCTGTTTGATACCCCATGCATTGCCATTCCTGAGAACTTAAATGTTATTCCTTTGTACCCTGTAAATTCACTGCCATTTCGCACCCTTCAAAGAGACATACAGCCATGCAAACACAACTGCTTCACGGTAGAAACACAAATGAGACGGAGGTGCCTGAGCAATCTTTTGTACAAAGTTTCCCTCTAGTAAAGAAAATATAATGCTTGTAATGGCAAAACATACTTATCATACCAGATATGAATACGTATAACCTACATCATTATAAAGCCGCAAACCTAATCCGGTGTCATATAGCAAAGCCACAAGGTGAGAGATTATCCTTGCTTACATAAACGGAGCCTTGCACTGCATTTAGAATCTATTAACGCTTTACTTGCTGAGAAATCACCAAGCGAGTTTAGTAGGTCGCTTCAGTGAACAGTGCTCCTCGATCAGAGGGGGGAGGAGAAGTTGTTAATATTTTTTTTACAACTTAGAATGGCAAAAACAAGCTGATGGAAAGTGGACGCCTATAGACATGACATGGACATGATACTGTTTCGCGCATGATACCCCCCATGCGTTGCCATTCCTGAGGACTCAGGTGTTATTCCTCCGTACCCTGTAAATTCACTGCCATATTCACCCTTCAAACCGAAACACAGCCATGCAAACACAACTGCGAACTATAGTAATGCGAACTACCAGTCCTGTTGCTAGCAAAATACCCTGTCATACGACCTTCACGTGATCCCCCCTAAAAAGCGACGTGCTGGATTCCAGGTTTATTCATCCTCATAGACTAACTGACCTATTAGGGCAAGAGAAAATCATTCCATTATCATCCGTAAAAAAAGAGCTCGATTCGCGGCGGCGCAAACTTTTCGCTAGTAAACATGGAGTAAACACGGAACTGGCTCGCGAGTCTGATTTTCCCCTTGCGCTCCAGAGGTCGGCATTAAAACAGATTCAGCAGTTAAAATGTTAACTTTCTACTATTAAGCTCACTCATTAGAATTTATTAACCTATTATTACAGACCACGTCACCCATATTAGCCAAGTAATATAATATAGGATTTATTACACATTTTCCTTCTTCTGCACTCGTATTTTCTTTATGTTTACTTGTGTATCTCGTGAGGTAATTCAATTTTGATTTATTACTACTTTTTTCCTTATTTCCACTCAAGCGTCACCTGCTTTATTTCTCATCTCACTACTCTTTCCCCAAAAATTGTCTGAAAGACTTTGCATTAGCGATAAAACCGCCTTTTGTATTTCCATTTACTTTCTTACCTTTCTGTACATACTTTGTTAATATTGACACAATACTGTTATAATATATAAATAAATGTATTGTGCTTTCCCTTAGCCACCTTTTACACATCTCGGGAATGAAAATTATCTTTTCCATATATTTTGTTTTTGTTTCCGGTGGCTTTACCTTTATGGATAAATATACAATGTATCGTATATATTAAGTTAGAATCCTACCCGGCATAGAATAGGCCACCCCTTCCTTTTCCGTGATTGTCGTAAGAGGCGACTAAGGGACGGCGAGGGATGGGCAGCAGCGTCTCTTTTAAAACATCTCAAAAGCCTAACTGCGGCTGCCAATCCGCCTGCCAAGTGGGGCAACTACTAGCTACCCCCCACCCCAAGGGAGGCTTACATTTAACAAAGACCAATTAAAGGCTGATATGATAATAACCTACCCACGTAGTAAATTTAATTCAAATCCGTTTAGTAGATTTTACATGAAGAAGCAACAAACACACACCTGTTCAAGCATCACCAACTTTTGCATTTACAATTGTAAAAAATTTTTGAGACGGTAAAATCTTGCCAAAAATCACATTAAACAGCACATGGTAAAAGAGCCCAATGAGAGAGAAGTGTTACCTCCATTATCGTACCATCCATAAAGAAATTAAAATACAACCTTCTTTTTCGAAGATGATGAAAAGAGACAAAAACAGCTTACACTCAATTTAATTGAAGGTCGCCTATAAACATTTTGCCATCAACAGACGACGCGCTAAAGTGGTAATAGTCATTAACAGTGATTGAATGGAATGTTGGCTATAAAATAAAGTACATGCACATTTTATCTTCATTGTGTATGAGAAGCGACAGTCGACTCATAATAGTGGTGATTAGTTAATGAATAAACCTATTTCATTATCTCTAATTAGTTTACTTATTAGGAAAAGATTCATTAGATTACAATAAATAAAATAAATAAATAAATAAAACAAAGGACTAAAAAACTTCGTGCAAAAGTCGTATGCTGCGCTTGTATGGACGTATTTTGGATTTAAGGGTCTTTTTTTATGTATGACAATGGAGTGATAACCCCGCCTGCGCTAACAATATACGCTAGCAAGACACCAGTAACGAATGATAGGTGAGTATGAAAAGGCAGGTCAGTTAGCCCATCGTGATGAATACACCAGAAATTCAACACGTTGGTTTCCAGGGGAGAACCACGTGGAGGTCGACTTGGCAGGGTATATTGCCCGTATTACTAACAGTTACTCCTCCCCCCCTCCTATATAAAAGTTTAGAAGGATGTAATATGTGGATATTTTTATAGTTGGACGTTTGTATGTTCATTACTCAATTACGCTGAATGCTGACCGGATTTGAATGAATTTGGTACACGGATAGTTCAAGTTAGACTTGACACACAGAATACTCTCTATATTAATTCACGTGGGCAAAACAGTGGGAAACAACTAGTAAAAACATAAGCATTAAAACTCACCTGATGCGGATATCCTATATAACAATAGTCGATGTTCCACAACCACTCCTTGTCCCAGAGTATGAAGAGACCGTACGAGAAGCTGAAGAGATAGAAGGTGCACCGCCACGCGTTCTCGCAGAACTTGACCAGGGTGGACGGCTTGTCCTGACTGCGGCGGAGGCGCCACCACCGCTCCACCTGGCGCTCGGACATATCCAGCTGCTTGGCCAGAGTTGTAATCTGGAAGAGATACCTGAATGAGACTTCATTTTTAATGGAAGAAAATGGAATGATAACCCTCGCTTACGCTATCGGTATAACGCTGGTGGAGCACCGCATAACGCTGGTGGAGCACCAGTGCGGGATGATAGGTGAGAATAAATGCATATCCATGAGTATAACAGCACTACCATGAGTTTTTACATTGAAATAGTAATAAATCTATAAAGTAATAAACGTTTAAACGCAGCTACATTAAGTAAAGTTCGCCGTGTGGTCCCAGTATAGAATGGTCCACCACTTTTTTCCTACAAGTGTCGTAAGAGGCGACTAAAGGAACTTAATGGTCGAGAGATGAGCAACGGCGTCCCTCTTAAAACGTCACCATAGCCAGACTGCGGTAGCCAGCCCGCCTGCCAAGCGTGGCAACTACTGGCAACACCGCCCAACAGGGAGAGGCCCATGTTCATTGGCGGGCAGTTAGCACCTATTATGATGACGATGATGAGACTAAGTAAAGATTACTCGCTCTGACATGAGTTCATACGATTTCAAATAGATATGTCAATGTCTACACCGTAGCAGAAATAAGTAAATCGTTTGTTTATGGCTTTGGCCCATCGTAACAAATTCTAAATTTTTTTTATACCGCTGAGGTGGCAAACAAGCATACGGCCCACCTGATGGTAAGCGGTTACCGTAGCCTACGAACGCCTGCAATACCAGAGGTATTACGCGCGCGTTACCGACCCTGAAGAAACCTGTTTACCCCCCTTTTGAAGAACCCCATGCTGTAGTGGAAGTCGATCGACCGAGTATAGAGTAGCTATGGGACTTTTATGCTCATATTACTATCGATCCCTTTCCGCTAAATGCTGCTGTTATCCGTCTAATTAGTAGGTGCCTCCTTCTATCGAAGGTTGACGATCATCTAACGATTTGTCCACTGCCATCTTCAAAAGGGAACAAGTTAGCTAATAAAATAAAGAATCATAAATAGAATTCGACAGCCCTATAAATAACAACATATCATTCTTTTTTGAATTAATTAAATGTGGCTGTGGTTTTTTTATCTACTTATACATATATAGTAGTCTAATGACATTAACCAAAGGATATTGCAAATGCATTTATTGCACTTTCAGATAAAAACTACACAATAACAGAAACAATACTGGCCACTTGTGACACATTATTGTTCTCATATTTATTATCGCTGCTATGGAAATATGGCATTGTGAACGGGGAGATGTTTATTAATAAATAAATAATAGTTTATTCAACGAACATTGTCACACTTACAAAAAAAGATTCATACAGAGTAAAATAACATGTAAAGGAAGTGAAGGTGGTACATCTGAGTCCTCAGGAATGGCAACGCATGGGGGGTATCATGGACGAAACAGTATACTCTGTTATGTCCATGGTACTGCTCATGTCTCTAGGCGACGGTTACCACTTTCCATCAGGTGGGCTGTCAGCTTGTTTGCCATTCTAAGTTATATAAAAAAAAAACGCAATGTTTGCCGAAATGGTCCCTGCTTAGCGTTATGCTGCAGTCGAGGAGCTACAATGCTGATTTTTTTGAATGGGTGATAATGATTTGGTAACATCGCCTGCACTATCGGCATATACTGGCGGGGCACCAGTGATAGATGACTGATGAGGATGAAAGCAGGTCAGTTAGCCCATCATGACGAAATCAACCAGAATTAACCATGATGGTTTCCAGGGGGAAACACGTGAAGGTCGACCTAGCAGAGCATATTGCTAGTAATGAGGCTGTTTGACCCCATTACTAACAACCCTTTTCCCCTCCTACAATGCTGATTTTCAGCGTGTTTTATAAAGACATTTGACCAAGGAGCTTACAATGAGCACTTAAGGGGGGAAGGGATTATTAGCAATGGAATTTGACAGCCCCATTGCTAGCAATATGCCCTATCAAGTCAACCTCCACGTGGTTCCCCCTGGAAACCATCGTGAACAATTCTCGTTGAATTCGTCACGATGGGCTAACTGACCTGTTTCATTCTCGTCTATCATCCTTCACTGGTGCCCCGCCGGTGTATACGGATAGCGCGGGTGGGGTTACTATTTCATTATCACCTATAAAAAAAATTAGCACTTAAAGCCTCATAGTTTTACAGATTCGATGGGGCTACTCTGCAGCAGACGCTAACCCCTTATTCATAAAAACTAAGATCTTCTACAATCCCCTTTTTTAACTATTACACTGTTTTGTCACTTTATTTCAAACTTATAATTTGGCACCAAAAAAAAAGAGAGAAAACAGTTCAAAAGCTAAAATAAGTTAGAGATTTGTTGTTTTATGAATGGCCAGCTTGTAGTCACGTTAAATCCACCACCGATCAAGTATTTATAAGCCACCAGTAAGTACATATTATAGTAATTTCATTTATTTATTTTGTAATACATAGATATATAACAATAGATAGTAATAGACGATCTTTTCTTCTTTTAATTTAAGAGTTTCCTCTTATCAGTGCAACTAATTCATGCATCTTCCTCCAGCCAGTTCTATCTCAGGCCATATCCTTGACCTCCCTATACGATATGACACCTAGTGTTTCTTTTATCTGTCCCATGTAGTTTTTTCTCGGTCTTCCTTTTCCTCTTTTACCCTCTATTTTTCCTTCTACTATGCTCTTAAAAAAAGCGTCATGTCGTATAAGGTGGCCCAGCATTTTGCCTCTTCTATTCTCTATTGTTTTAATTAATGTTCTTTTCTCGTTCACTCTTTTAAGGACTTCCTCATTCGTTAGTTTTTCTGTCCAGCTTATCCTTTCCATTCTCCTCCATGGCCACATTTCGAATGCCTCAAGCGACGATAAGTCCTCTATAATTAACCTCACACATCGAGGTATACAAATTTACAAACATATACATATATATGAAAAAAAAAAAGAAAGCCGAACCAGAGTTTCGGAAATCATAAGTATTTTTTAAAGTACTTATAAACTTAACGTACGATAACGTTATCGTTCGACATACCGGCAAATACTACTATCTATTACAGGCGCATAATAAAACTGGCGCTATATTCTTTTTCTCTTTATGGCTCCGTACGAAAATGATGCATAGGAGTACACCTATGTTGAGACTTCGTCCATACGTGTATTTGTCTATTTAAAATTAAATCAAATAATTAAAAAAAAAATCGTTAATTTTATTATTCTTATGGATCTCCATGCCTCTAGTATTTAAAACAGGCTTACTTTTTATTAATTGTTAGGAAGGCAAATGAGCAGACGATCAACCTGATGGAAAGCGGCTACGTACAAAAAAACAAGTGCCAGAAAAATATATTGATAGATACTTTTAAGAACCCACGTGAGAGTGTTGTCATTGCACCCATTCTTACTAATACTATAAATATAAAAGTAAGTTTGTTTGTTTGTTACCTTACACGTAAACGAACTCACTTTCGCCTTCTCGCCTGAACCAATCACTATACAATTTGATATACACGTACTGTATGGGACAAAGAAGGTCCTGACACAAACATACAAATACCGGTCACGCGAATAAAGCCACGAGTAAAAACTAGTACAGATATAAAATTGTCTTGCCCATAATTAAATTCAAAAGAGTAATTGCTGAGTTTCTTGCGCGTTTATCTCAGCAGATAACAACATTCTGAACTCAGCTTAAGAATCATAAAACGTGATAACTTAAAATCCTAAAAATATTAGTGTAGATACAAATCTATTTGAATCTACACTAATATTATAAAGAGGAAAAATTTTTATTTTTGTGTGTATGTATGTTTAAACAAAACTACTCAAAAACTACTTTGCCGATTTCAAAAACTCTTTCGCCATTAGGAAGCTACGTTCACCCTGAGTAACATAGACTATATTTATTGCTAGAAAAGATTAGAGATCCTTACTGAAACTTTAGTAACGTAACTCGAGGTGTAAAAAAATGCTATAAAATATCCTTCGTCGCGTGCGCTGCTGAAACTATTGGTGATAGAACAAGAGTATGTTCTACAATATTGAAGAAAACATCAATAACTACAAAAAACTTCGCGATACTATATGTCCAACTATTAACGTTATGTCACAATAACCACTTTTTGAAATGTTGTAAAAATGTCCACCCGTGCGAAGCCGGGACGGGCTGCAATAGTGGCATATTTATTGATAGATTCATTTGGCACTAGCCTCAGGGTGGGAAGGGAGAGGAGGGATACGTGGATAAGAATACACAGTATTTGTGTATTATAGTATAATGCTAGAATACAAAGCGTGACATTAAGTACGAAACCTGGGCGCCAGGCCAAGATTATAATATTTTCAACAACTGGTCAACTGCATATAATGCAAGTTGCATTAGGGGTACAATTTTAAGCGTCTTGCTCTCCTGCTCGCTTATATTGTAATCGTTGTAAGAGACAGCACCTTTTTGGTCAGCACCTTTCCGTGGTACCGCTCATGTCTATAGGTAGGCGACGGTTACCACTTTCCATCAGGTGGGCCGTCACCTTGTTTATTATTTTAAGTTGCCTAAAAAAAGTCACGAAAAAGATTCCAATTCTGAATTAATTACAAATGACTAAACAATAATTTGTGTTCCACAAAAAAAATCTGTTGTGGCAAAACCAGTTATCAACCGACTTCAAAAAAAGGAGGTTCTCAATTCGGATGTATTTCTTTATGTTTTTTACCGTAAGTCAGTTATAAACAGATTTAAAAAATCTTTTTTATCTGAAAGGACTGAGAAGAAATTCTATCCAAATCAATTCAGTGATTTAAATTTTAGACCGGAATCTGATTTGAATAATTCTTTATGCACTTGATAGCTTATTTCTTGGGAAAGGTCATAGGATATTCAAAATCACGATACCACGTGTAAAGCCTACAATGTTAACATCACATTTAGTAATGTTAATATTTAATAATTACCAATTTTTTTTTATACAACTTAGAATGGCATACAAGCCAACGGCCCACCTGATGGAAAGTGGTAACCGTCGCCTATAGACATGAACAGTA